GTTATAACACTTAGTGTTGTTATAACAATTCTATATTCATTTAAAGTTGCGCATTTTGATGTGACGTCACATTTCTCAAACCCCACCCCCCCCCCACCCTCGTCACACATCGTCACAATTGTCTGACACCGCCCCCCCTCCTCCCCGCTCGCCCTAGGTGCGTGACGTCATTTATGGACGGCCCCTTACCCAATTCACCCCGCTGGGCCGCACAGAGGCGTGCGCTTGGTTTGAATTGCAGCGCCGGGTCCGAAGCGGCCGAACGACAACAGCGTCGCTGCTGCTAACAATAGGGAATCAGAATAAATCATCGGTGGGCGGACGGCAGGAATGAGCGGTGGCGCAGCGGTTTAGCAACACCGCTGCAACGAACGGAGACCCGAGTTCGGTTTCTCGGTCCACGGCTAACGTCAGCAGGCCGAGCGACATCTGAAGAGGGTCCCTGGCCTGCCCTCCAGCACCACCACCACCACCACCGTCATTGTACCGACGTGGTGAAGTATGGTCAGACACCCCAGCACCACCACCCCTTCCCAAACGCCTCTTCCACCATCACCGACGCAGCCTTCATCCGAACAGCGAATTAACAACAGGTCGAACAGTGCGGTATAATCATCATGGTCGTCGTCAATAATATGTACAGCATCTACTAGATCGCTGCTAACATCTCCACGAGCAGTATTCGTGAGCCCTGTGTAGGTAGCTCTAATGTGCAGTATATATTACAACAAACACACAAATATCACGTTTTTGTCGTGGCAATTCGTCTCGTAAGCCACGCACAGTGCAAGGCGGTTCTCCCAAACCATAGCAGAGCCTTATTTATTTATTTATTTAGGGGGTTAGATCGCGTAAACGTATAAATGTGTCGTTAAAACCCGCCACCACCCGACACGGCCAACTAGTTAAGGTTGTCACGTAAACAGAACGTGGCCAATTCGTCACTGGTACATCACACCGGTGTGTTGCAGAGCAATCCGCAACATTTACAATCTGAGCACGCCAGTAATTAAAACTAGCATAATCAGGCGACAGCCAGATTTGTGGAGAAATCCTCCTGTTTAGTTCCTTCAATAGAGGCGTAAATGTGATGACGTCACTTGTGAGCCCTTCGCACGTGAAGGTGGAGTAACTACACTATCAGTGGTGTAGTAACTACATTATCAGTCGTGTAGTAACTACACTATCAGAGGTGTAGTAAATACACTATCAGTGACGTGGTAACTACATTATTAGTGGTGTAGTAAACTACATTATTAGTGGTGTAGTAACTACATCATCAGTGGTGTAGTAACTACATTGTCAGTGTAGTAACTACATTATTAGTGGAGTAGTAACTACATTATCAGTGGTGTAGTAACTACATTATCAGTGGTGTAGTAACTACATTATCAGTCGTGTAGTAACTACACTATCAGTGGTGTAGTAAATACACTATCAGTGACGTGGTAACTACATTATCAGTGGTGTAGTGACTACATTATCAGTGGCGTAATAACTACACTCTCAGTGGTGTAGTAACTACACTATCAGTGACGTAGTAACTACATTATCAGTGGGGTAGTGACTACATTATCAGTGGCGTAATAACTACACTATCAGTGGTGTAGTAACTACACTATCAGTGGTGTAGTAACTACATTATCAGTGTAATAACTACATTCTCAGTGGTGTAGTGACTACATTATCAGTGGTGTAGTGACTACATGATCAGTGACGTAGTAACTACATTATCAGTGGTGTAGTGACTACATTATCAGTGGTGTAGTAACTACACTATCAGTCGTGTAGTAACTACACTATCAGTGGTGTAGTAACTACACTATCAGTGACGTAGTAACTACATTATCAGTGGTGTAGTGACTACATTATCAGTGGCGTAATAACTACACTATCAGTGGTGTAGTAACTACACTATCAGTGGTGTAGTAACTACATTATCAGTGTAATAACTACATTCTCAGTGGTGTAGTGACTACATTATCAGTGGTGTAGTGACTACATGATCAGTGACGTAGTAACTACATTATCAGTGGTGTAGTGACTACATTATCAGTGGCGTAGTGACTACATTATCAGTGGTGTAGTGACCACATTATCAGTGACGTAGTAACTACATTATCAGTGGTGTAGTAACTACATTATTAGTGGTGTAGTAACTACATTATCAGTGGTGTAGTGACTACATTATCAGTGGTGTAGTAACTACACTATCAGTGGTGTAGTTACTACATTATCAGTGGTGTAGTGACTACATTATCAGTGGTGTAGTAACTACATTATCAGTGGCGTAGTAACTACACTATCAGTGGTGTAGTAACTACATTATCAGTGGTGTAGTAACTACATTATCAGTGGTGTAGTAACTACATTATCAGTGGTGTAGTGACTACATTATCAGTGGTGTAGTAACTACACTATCAGTGGTGTAGTAACTACATTATCAGTGGCGTAGTAACTACATTATCAGTGGCGTAGTAACTACATTATCAGTGGTGTAATAACTACATTATCAGTAACGTAGTAACTACATTATCAGTGACGTAGTAACTACATTATCAGTGGCGTAGTAACTACATTATCAGTGGCGTAGTAACTACATTATCAGTGGTGTAATAACTACATTATCAGTGACAGTAGTAACTACATTATCAGTGACGTAGTAGCTACATTATCAGTGGCGTAGTAACTACACTATCAGTGGCGTAGTAACTACATTATCAGTGGCGTAGTAACTGCATTATCAGTGGCGTAGTAACTACATTATCAGTGGTGTAGTAACTACATTATCAGTGACGTAGTAACTACATTATCAGTGGTGTAATAACTACATTATCAGTGGCGTAGTAACTACATTATCAGTGGCGTAGTAACTACATTATCAGTGGTGTAATAACTACATTATCAGTGACAGTAGTAACTACATTATCAGTGACGTAGTAGCTACATTATCAGTGACGTAGTAGCTACATTATCAGTGGCGTAGTAACTACACTATCAGTGGCGTAGTAACTACATTATCAGTGGCGTAGTAACTACATTATCAGTGGCGTAGTAACTACATTATCAGTGGTGTAGTAACTACATTATCAGTGACATAGTAACTACATTATCAGTGGTGTAATAACTACATTATCAGTGACGTAGTAACTACATTATCAGTGGTGTAATAACTACATTATCAGTGACGTAGTAACTACATTATCAGTGACGTAGTAACTACAGTATCAGTGACCTAGTAACTACATTATCAGTGGTGTAGTAACTACACTATCAGTGGCGTAGTAACTACATTATCAGTGGTGTAGTAACTACATTATCAGTGGCGTAGTAACTACATTATCAGTGGTGTAGTAACTAGATTATCAGTGGTGTAGTAACTACATTATCAGTGGTGTAGTGACTACATTATCAGTGACGTAGTGACTATATTATCAGTGGTGTAGTAACTACATTATCAGTGTCGTAGTAGCGACATTATTAGTGTCGCAGTAACTACATTATCAGTGTCGTAATAACTACATCAGTAGTATAGTAGCTAAATTATATGATAATCATCAGTGGCGTAGTAACTACGTTCTTAGTAGCGTAGTAGCGACATTATCAGTGTCGTAGTAGCTAAATGATCAGTGTCGTAGTGACTTCATTATCAGTGTCGTAGTAGCGACATTATCAGTGTCGTAGTGAGTTCATTATCAGTGTCGTAGAAACGACATTACCAGTGTCGTAGTAACGACATCAATAGCGTAGTGACTTCATTAATTATAATCAGTGTCGTAGTAGCTACATTGTGATTTGTCTCTTCGAGAAGCTTTGTGGGTGTCCAGACGGCGCTTCCTGTGCTCCGCCGGGCACCAGCCACCAGCCACCGCTGCCTCTCAACTTCGAGAGTCTCTCCGGAGGGAGTGGTGCTGGACACCGAGATTCTCTCCTTGAATTCTCTTCCGAATCCTTAGCGCCACATCTGCGCCCACCTCCCGCCCACCCCCTTTCCAGAATATTAGTCGCTGGCTCCACGATCCATCTCGTTCCTCGACATCACTCTCAGCTGTGTCGTATCCTCCGATGCTTACTTTACTACACCTCCCGCATTTGTCAGATGTGAGGGCCCTCCGTTATTCACGTCCACTCATCACCACCCACATCGCCGACACCCTCGCCCGTGTCATGGCCGACTGTTGCAATCTCCGTCTGTCGTCTTTATTCCTCATCGAGTAACCTCAAGAAACTACAGCGGCCGCAAAACATCCTCTGCACCCGTCATCATCGGCGAAATTCCCCTCGCCTCCCTCCGTAACCAAGCTGCAAGATCTAGCTAGCGGCTTCCCACCATCACCAGCGGGGGCCAACTACAAAATCCCCTGCCTCCACCGGTCAGTTCTCGTCTCTTCGTGGCAGGCCCTGCCGTCTGGAACGCCATCCCGCGTCAATCTACACGGGCATTTCACAAACACTTAAAAGGGACCCCGCCTCTTAGGATTCGACCCGGTTTTCGCGAGACACTGAACTCGACTCCGCACCCCGGAGTCATTCATGTCCGCGCCATATTGTGGCGCGTTAGAAATTGCACGCCGATTAGAGCAGGCTGAACGAGCGTCTGTGGCCATACGACTTGGGAGGCCCGAGTGAGGCAGGCCCGAAGCCGGCAGGCCTAGAGCCCACGGCCAGGGTGCGCTCTGCGCCACAAGCGCACAGGGACACACCCCCACAACATCTTCAGGCATCCCAAAAAGCTTTGTCTTTGTCTCTCTGCGTCTGTCTCTCTCCACGTCTCCCCCCCAAACTCCCGTCTGCGCAACCCTCATAGGTATGACGACAATCGCCTCAGCGTGGGCCTTTGCCTAGGCCGGCTGCAGCCAGGAGTGGTCCAGGCTCTGTGTGAGTGTCTCTCTCGCTCGCTCTCTGCGTATCGCTTCAGGTCCTCGCAACCCCTCACCCCATCTACAAAGGGCCCTCCACCCACCCACCACCCACCCACCACCACCCACCACCGCGCTCGTGACGGTGGCATTGGGCTTCAGCCTGGGCCCCGCTAGGCCTGCTGCTGCTGCTGCTGCAGCCATTCGTGGTCGAGGCTCTGTGCGGCCGTGGCTCTGCGCCAGGGCCGGGGCGCCAGCATGGGCAGCAGGAAGGAAGCGAAGGCGCTCGCCTCGTCCGCGCTCCAGCCGTACTTCTCCAGCAGCACGTCGGGCAGCGGCCATGGCGTGAGCTCGTCGATGTGCCTCATCTCTCCTGCGGGGGGTTCACGAAATGCGGTGAACCGCCGTGACCACGCTGGACAACCGGTCCCCACACAGGCCCTTCACCACCACCACCACCACAGCGGCGGCGACGGCGGCAACGAAACACAGCAACAGCCGTCGTTCGTTTCGAAGTGGCGGCCTTAACGTACACAGGGCCTAGCTTGTGCGCCACACTGGCGAGATGTTGACTACCTCGCCTGGTACGCAGGAGGTCGTGGGTTCGATCCCGACCCTGACGCCTGCTGCTGTATATTTGGAGTTTGCGTGTCTCTCTCTCTCATCATCATCACGGTGGCTAGGAGATGTTAACTACCTCGCCTGGTGTACAGGAGGTTGTGGGTTCGATCCCGACCCTGAAGCCTGCTGCTGTATATTTGGAGTTTGCGTGTCTCTCTCTCATCATCATCACGATGGCTAGGAGATGTTAACTACCTCGTCTGGTATACAGGAGGTTGTGGGTTCGATCCCGACCCTGAAGCCTGCTGCTGTATATTTGGAGTTTGCGTGTCTCTCTCTCTCATCATCATGACGGTGGCTAGGAGATGTTAACTACCTCGCCTGGTATACAGGAGGTTGTGGGTTCGATCCCGACCCTGAGGGCCTGCTGCTCTATATTTGGAGTTTGCATGACTCTCTTCCCGTGGTCGCGTGGATTTTTCTCCGGGTCCTCCGGCTTTTCGCTCCACATTTAGAATCAACATCACGCGTCTAGGGTCTTTGCCTGCTATAAATTTCCACGTAACGATAAGCCACTTTGCTGAGCTACCATTCGTGGCCAGGTCGCTTCTGAAAAACAGCTGTACAGCTCAGTTTGCCTTACCTTGTAAAATAAGATAAAATGTTTTTAGTTTTGCGCCAGGCTATGTGCTCGTTAAGGCCCGTCACGTGAAGCGCGGAAGGTTCGCTGCTGGCAGAAGGTCACATTAAGGCACGGGTGTCATGAGTTAACTGAGATGACTGGCAGACGACGATTCGGGAACAGCAGACAAGCGGGAAAGGCAGGAATGCGGTGGACCGGCAACGCAATTCCCGCCCAAGCTCTGCAATCCCCTACGTATAAAGTAGGCTCTCGATTATCTGCGCGCATGACGAGGAGGACAGTCGCGAATAATTCAAAATCGCGGAGAATGCAAAAATGCCGTAGAACCCTTCTTAACGACCACCCCTGTTAACGACTAATCGCTTAACGACGGGCCTCCATAGAGCCCAATGTGTAGTGTACAGTAGTGCATAGTGTATAGTAGTGTAGTATATAGTGTATAGTAGTGTAGTGCCTCCATAGAGCCCAAGGTGTTCGCTTACCGACCATTCCCCTGTTAACGACGGGCCTTCGACGAGCACGCGACCGCCACATTTTCGGCCAATCGGCGAGCTCCAAAGTCGTCTGACCGGGCATCGGCCAATCAGCGACGTCCATTCACGAGCGTTGGGGCATTATTTACGTTCAGTGTCTGCTGCGCTTCGAAGTGGAAACATAAACTCGTTTTCACGACCAAACAATTTGACCGGTTTCGTGGAACCAATTACCGTCGTTAAGAGGGGTTCTACTCTACCCATATACTGTGCGGATCTCTGTACCAAAAACGACCGGTCGATGCAGGTGCTCAGTGCTAACACTCTCTTGCTCCCGCCCAGCAGGAGACTCGGCACACGGAGCGTCTAGCAGCGGAGTCACGCCTATCGACGGCAATGAAACTCCGCCCACTGCTGCGAAGACGTGCAACTACTGCACTGCAGGGGCGATGATCACGTGGATTTCGGATTAACCGGAGCACCATTTTTGTTCGGTTTGAGCACGCGGCTTGCGACAGACATTTCCAAGAGTAGCAACGCAAAACAGTTTTCAGATTATTCATTTGGGACTTAAGGGGAGAATCCACGAGTTGTTAACCGATGTCAAAATCTCGGTGTTGCGCTGTTCATTCACAATTTGGATAAACCGCACGCGGATAATGGAGAGTCTACTGTATAAAGGTTGTATTCGGCCAATTAACCTTTTACCTGATTCTGAGATGACTGTAAGGTGGGTCCATGTCTAATGAACGTGCGAGCGGTTCAGCATTAATTTTTATTTCGCGAGGCGTAGCAGTAGCGTCGGCGTTTTGTAAAGACATTGCAGAGAATCGGGCATTGGACGTGCGAGAGGAAAGTCCGCTCAGCGTTGCGGGGGGATCGAGCGTAGCCCCCTCCCACTTAGCGCGGGGTTTCTCACTCGTTTACGGGGGTTGGCCGTACATCCCAATGTAGGAGCACAGAGCTTGGGCAATCAGTGGCAGCGCCGTGACCCGTGTGGTCTCCCATGCCTCTGGATCACTCCCTCTACTCTAATAATAATAATAAACACGTTTGCTTTTGTGTAGCATCGTTCAGTCCGTGTAAAATCTGCATCTCGCACAATCGCCCAGGAGCCGCGAACGAGCGGCAGTGCGGCAGCCGTGCAGTCGGGGTGTGAGCCGGCGCTGGCAACACATTTCCCAAGCTCTGGACTCCTCTACATATTAAGATGTTTTGCGAAAGGGCTGAGAGGGGAGGGAGGGAGGGGGGGGGGCGGGGAGGTCACGTGAGTTATCGATGGGTGTCACTCTGCTCGGTGCACCGACCTTTGCTGTTGAATATTTCCCGAGAGTATCTCCCGGACATCGCAAAGCTCCTGGGAAGGTTTCCCAGTAGCTCTATGATGTGCGCTATGTGGTCTGCACACACACACACGCACACAGACAAAGGTCCCCCGTATAGCCTCTTAACAGACTGTAGGGGCAAGTGCTGTTAGGGAGCACCCGTGAAGGCCGGCACGGCACACGAGGAGTTGGGTGGCCAGCACCACACCCGGCCGCCTTTGTCTCCCCAGTGGCGATGTTTACACACCGCACCAGGTAGCCACAAAGACAAAGATAAAGATCCCCCGTATAGCCTTAACAGACTGTAGGGGAAAGTGCTGTTAGCGAGCACCTATGAAGGCCGGAACGGTACACTAGGGGGTGGGTGGCCAGCACCACGCCCGACCGCCTTTGTCTCCCTAGTGGCAATGTTTTTATCCACCGCACCAGGTACTCATTTGAGGCTGAGTCGACATAGGGGAAGCCCAGGACCGGTTCAGATAATCGTCACTGGTGTTGGCCGTTTATCGGGAATCGAACCCAGGTCGCCAGGTTCATAGCGCAGCGCGCTAACCGCTACACTACTGCTCCCCCCAACACACACACATTCGCATGTCAACACACACGTGTGTACGCACTCAAATGCTCTAATCCCTCCTGGACCAATTGCGTGACTGTGAGTGTTACTGTGTGTGACTGAGTGAGACGGTGAATTAGATAGTGAGTGTGATTCTGAGTGAGTGACTGTGATTGTGAGTGTGATTGTGTGACTGTGAGTGTGATTGTGAGTGTATGGCTGGTTGTGAGTGTGTGACTGTGGGTTGTGAGTGTGATTGTGTGTGACTGGTTGTGAGTGTGACTGTGATTGTGAGTGTGTGACTGTTGTTGTAAGTGTGTGACTGTGACTGTTGTTGTGAGTGTGTGACTGTGGTTGTAACTGTGATTGTGAGTGTGTGACTGTTGTTGTAAGTGTGTGACTGTGACTGTTGTTGTGAGTGTATGACTGTGGTTGTTAGTGTGTGACTGTGGTTGTGTGTGACTGTGATTGTGAGTGTGTGATTGTGAGTGTGTGACTGTGGTTGTAACTGTGATTGTGAGTGTGTGACTGTTGTTGTAAGTGTGTGACTGTGACTGTTGTTGTGAGTGTGTGACTGTGGTTGTTAGTGTGTGACTGTGGTTGTGTGTGACTGTGATTGTGAGTGTGTGATTGTGAGTGTGTGACTGTGGTTGTAACTGTGATTGTGAGTGTGTGACTGTTGTAAGTGTGTGACTGTGACTTGTTGTGAGTGTGTGACTGGTTGTTGGTGTGATTGTGAGTGTGTGGCTGTGACTGTGGTACTAGTGGTGTGAGTGTGTGACTGTGGTTGTTAGTGTGTGACTGTGATTGTGACTGTGGTTGTGAGTGTGTGACTGTGGTTGTTCGTGTGATTGTGAGTGTGTGACTGTGACTGTGGTTGCGATTGTGTGACTGTGATTGTGAGTGTGTGATTGTGAGTGTGTGACTGTGGCTGTGACTGTGGTTGTGAGTGTGTGACTGTGATTGTGAGTGTGTGACTGTGACTGTGGTTGTGAGTGTGACTGTGGTTGTGAGTGTGTGACTGTGGTTGTGAGTGTATGACTGTGGTTGTGTGTGACTGTGGTTGTGAGTGTATGACTGTGGTTGTGAGTGTGTGACTGTGGTTGTGAGTGTATGACTGTGGTTGTGAGTGTGTGACTGTGGTTGTGACTGTGGTTGTGAGTGTGTGACTGTGGTTGTGAGTGTGTGACTGTGGTTGTGAGTGTATGACTGTGGTTGTGAGTGTGTGACTGTGGTTGTGAGTGTATGACTGTGGTTGTGAGTGTATGACTGTGGTTGTGAGTGTGTGACTGTGGATGTGACTGTGGTTGTGAGTGTGTGACTGTGGTTGTGAGTGTGTGACTGTGGTTGTGAGTGTGTGACTGTGGTTGTGAGTGTGTGACTGTGGTTGTGAGTTTATGACTGTGGTTGTGTGTGACTGTGGTTGTGAGTGTATGACTGTGGTTGTGAGTGTGTGACTGTGGTTGTGAGTGTATGACTGTGGTTGTGAGTGTATGACTGTGGTTGTGAGTGTGTGACTGTGGTTCTGAGTGTGTGCCTGTGGTTGTGAGTGTATGACTGTGGTTGTGAGTGTGTGACTGTGGTTGTGAGTGTATGACTGTGGTTGTGAGTGTATGACTGTGGTTGTGAGTGTGTGACTGTGGATGTGACTGTGGTTGTGAGTGTGTGACTGTGGTTGTGAGTGTGTGACTGTGGTTGTGAGTGTGTGACTGTGGTTGTGAGTGTATGACTGTGGTTGTGAGTATGTGACTGTGACTGGTTGTGAGTGTGACTGTGGTTGTGAGTGTATGAGTGTGGTTGTGAGTGTGTGACTGTGGTTGTGAGGTCCGGCAAAAACACCCCCTACCTCCTCGCGGTGCCGGACGGGCAACTCTGTTGTGGACAGTGCTGTGAGGGGAGATCCAATTTTGATTGGCTCCTCCCCTCATGGCATATGTGTCCACCACAGGGGCTAAACGGGGGCTCTGCACGGGTGCGAGGGGCTGGTAACCCCTCCACCTTCAATTAATTACCACGAAACCACGAGTTAAACTGAAATATGTAACTAATAAGCTTGTGCCGGAGGCCCCGGGGGGCCAGGCGTCTATGACGTCTCCTGGCCAAACCCCAATTGGCAGAGCCAGGAGATTGAATACCTACCCTCGGGGCTACTCCAGAAACAACGAAAAGCCACTACGGGTGGCCACGTGGAATGTTCGAACGCTCACTGCGGAGGAGAGGCTGCCACTCCTCTGTCGGGAGCTGGACCGGTACCGCCTGGATCTATGCGGCATTCAGGAGGTCCGGTGGACCGGCTCTGGCTCCTGCCACCATGAGGGGTGGACAGTCCTCTACTCGGGGCAGCAGACTGCCAAACAACAGGGTGTGGCTCTTCTTTTGAACAAAAGAATGAAGGGGGCGTGGGAGCGTGGCGGTGAGGTGTGGGAAGCTGTAAGCCCCAGGTTACTTTGGGCTAGCCTTCCCATCAACCGGAGGCGAGGAATGGTGGTCGTGGTTACTTATGCCCCCACCGAAGATGAACATCCATGGAGGGATGCAGGCAAAGCCGATGAGTCAGATGCCTTCTATGACCTCCTGTCACAGGTGCTGGCTAAAGTGGCCCCTCGGGATAGAGCCATCATGTTGGGTGACTTCAATGCCCGAGTTGGTCATGATACTGGCACCTGGTCTGGAGTGATTGGAGGGCATGGGCCAGATCAGCTCAATAACAACGGTAGGAGGCTGCTAGATTTTGGTGCAGCCCATGGGCTTGTAATTACCAACACGCTGTTCCAGCATCGGCGCATCCACACAACATCATGGATGCATGCCGGATCCAAGCAAGAACATCTGCTGGACTACATAGTGACGGACCAGCGGATGCGAGCCCATGTCCTTGACACCAGGACCTACCGTGGAGCTGATCTGCCCTCTGACCATCGACTAGTCATCTGTAAGATGCGCCTGCCATTATTCCACTCCGGTGGTGGGTGTACACCCAGGACCCCATTCCGACCTAAAGTGGCCTGGTCTCAGTTATCTGATGAAAGTTTACAAGCGAGAATTTCATCATCCCTTGCGGCTGGGATTGGCATCGTCCCCGACTCCTCCTGATCTCGAGGGTAAATTGGCGAGGTTTAGGACTGTGACTCATGCAGCTGCAATGGCTGCTTTGGGAACGCGGTCCAGACCTCCCCAGAGACCCTGGCTGACAGAGGAGGTGTTTAGGATGGTTGAGAAAAAGCGACAGGCTCACTGCCATCGGCTACAGAATCCCACATCAGAGAATGAGGAGGCTTACCGCAGCCTTCGCTCGGAGGTTCGGAGAGCTGTGAGGCGCTGCAAGGATGGGTGGTGGTCGCGGATTGCTGAGGAGATAGAGTCTGCCTCAGTGGCCCGTGATCACAAATCTCTATTTAACTCCATCAAAAAAGTATCCTGCAGCGCCACACCTATTACCATCATTAGGGGAAAAAACGGTGATCCAATCTCCGACCCCCAGGAACAGGTTTGCAGATTTGCTGAGCATTTCTGTGAGGTCCTGGGGGAGGGAAAATCTCTCAGCCAGGAAAACATCGTGGCACAAAGTGAGGATGACCCTGCTTAGGCTGCGGTGCCTCAAATATTGGAAGAAGTCACCCCCTGTGAGTGGTGGGCTGAGGTGCCATCTGTTGAGGAAGTACTGAGGGCGATCCGGAGTCTGAGACCAGGAAAGGCAGCGGGCAGAGATGATCTCCCAAGCGAAATGCTGAGGGAGGGTGGCGTTTGTGCACAGACTGCCCTATATGACATCATAACAACAGTCTGGACCACTGGACGGGTTCTGCAGGATTGGAAGGATGCCCTGGTGGTCCCCCTTCTTAAAGAGGGGGACCTGCACAGGACTGTAACAACTACAGGGGCATCTCACTCCACAGTGTGCCGGGAAAGGTCCTGGCAAGGATTATTCAGCATCGCCTTGCCAGGCACGCTGAGGAGAGGCTTGCGGAGCCCCAATGCGGTTTCAGGATAGGGCGGTCCTGCACAGATGCCATATTTTCTGTCCGTCTGCTACAGCAGAGGTGTAGGCAATTCCAACAAGACCTTCATCTCTGCTTTATTGACCTGGTCAAGGCCTATGATACCATCAGTAGGCCTGGGCTCTGGGTCGTTCTTCGTGCTTTTGGAGTACCTGACCCTCTGCTCACGATCATTAAGGACCTTCATGATGGTGAGCGGGCCCGGGAAAAACTATGTGGCCGGGAGTCAGAGCCATTCCCTGTACACCTTGGGGTGCGACAGGGATGTCCTCTGGCTCCCACATTATTTAACATCTATTTTGACCACGTAGTTCGTGAAGCCTTCAATAGCTGTACCGGGGGAATCTCCATATGGTACAGATATAATGGGAGGCTGATCGACGCCCGGGTGCGGTCAAGGGATGGCTCCCTTATGCTCAACCACGTTATGTATTCTGATGATTTGGTAATAGCTGCTCAGTCAGAGGAGGAGTTGGAGACGTTGCTGCTGAGACTGGAGCGTGCCACTAAGAGGTGGGGCCTTACCATCAGCCCCACCAAAACTAAGCACCTGCCTGGGTATTTTGTACCATCGGACACTCCACCCCCACAACTCCCGATTGGTGATGGGGCAGTTGTGGAGAGAGTGGAGAGTTTCCCATACCTGGGCAGTGTGCTTATGACTGGCTCCAGTTTACGAGCAGAGGTCTCACTCCGAATTAGTCGAGCGGCAATATCTTTTCATCGGTTGCGTAATGCTGTGTGGAAGCTACCTGGTCTGTCGCTCCGCACTAAGCTTCAGGTCTTCTCGGCCACGGTCATTCCATCCCTTCTCCACGCTTGCGAAACGTGGACCCCCCTAATGGAACATCTTCGCCGGTTAAAAACATTTAGGCTGGCCTGCCTACGATCCATCCTGGGTTTAACCAGACTGGATTGTGTGAGGAGCTCACAAATCCTTGAAAGATCTGGGCAAGGTCCCATCGGTGAGCTCCTCCGGCGGGCAAGGCTGCGATGGCCGGGTCATGTAGCCCGCATGCCCAGCCACCGGATGCCGAAACAGCTTTTGTTCGGCCGGATTGAGTGGGCAAAGCGGGCGCGGCACGGGCTAGAGAAGAGATGGAGTGATGTGGTACAGGAGGACGTGGAGATGAGTGGACTTGCCGATGACTGGTACCAGCGGTGTCAAGATCGGCCTCTGTGGAGGAGGCTCGTGAAGGATGCTACTGGGCAGTTGGAGGTAGTCGCCCTCCAACAACAACGGAGGGCAGAGGAGCGACGCTCACAACAACAAGCGGAGCGCCGGGTGGCTAAAGCACAGCAGATTGGCACAGTAGGGGGCACAGGTGGTGCATCAGCCACTCATCTCAGTCAGTCGACCCGTGGCACCTGGATCTGCCCCGTGACCTCCTGCCAGCGGGCGTTCGACACTTCACGTGGCCTCAGGGTGCACATAGCCTGGCACAAGCGTCGTGGTGACGTCACCGCCACTTAGTGGCGAATGGCGGTTGTTGTTGAGTGTGTGTCTGTGGTTGTGTGTGACTGTGCTTGTGAGTGTGTGACTGTGGTTGTGTGTGACTGTGGTTGTGAGTGTGTGACTGTGGTTGTGACTATGGTTGTGAGTGTATGACTGTGTTTGTGAGTGTATGACTGTGGTTGTGAGTGTGTGACTGTGGTTGTGATTGTATGACTGTGGTTGGGTGTGACTGTGGTTGTGAGTGTGTGACTGTGGTTGTGTGTGACTGTGGTTGTGAGTGTGTGACTGTGGTTGTGTGTGACTGTGGTTGTGTGTGACTGTGGTTGTGAGTGTGTGACTGTGGTTGTGAGTGTATGACTGTGGTTGCGAGTGTGTGACTGTGGTTGTGAGTGTCTGATTGTGACTGGTTGTGAGTGTGACTGTGGTTGTGAGTGTGTGACTGTGGTTGTGAGTGTGTGACTGTGACTGGTTGTGAGTGTGACTGTGGTTGTGAGTGTGTGACTGTGGTTGTGAGTGTATGACTGTGGTTGTGAGTGTGTGACTGTGGTTGTGACTATGTTTGTGAATGTATGACTGTGGTTGTGAGTGTGTGACTGTGGTTGTGTGTGACTGTGGTTGTGAGTGTGTGACTGTGGTTGTGAGTGTGACTGTGGTTGTGTGTGACTGTGGTTGTGAGTGTATGACTGTGGTTGTGAGTGTATGACTATGGTTGTGAGTGTGTGACTGTGGTTGTGAGTGTATGACTGTGGTTGTGAGTGTATGACTGTGGTTGTGAGTTGGTGACTGTGGTTGTGAGTGTATGACTGTGGTTGTGAGTGTATGACTGTGGTTGTGAGTGTGTGACTGTGATTGTGTATGACTGTGGTTGTGAGTGTATGACTGTGGTTGTGTATGACTGTGGTTGTGAGTGTATGACTGTGGTTGTGAGTGTGTGACTGTGACTGGTTGTGAGTGTGACTGTGGTTGTGAGTATATGACTGTGGTTGTGAGTGTATGACTATAGTTGTGAGTGTGTGACTGTGGTTGTGAGTGTATGACTGTGGTTGTGAGTGTATGACTGTGGTTGTGAGTGTGTGACTGTGGTTGTGAGTGTATGACTGTGGTTGTGAGTGTATGACTGTGGTTGTGAGTGTGTGACTGTGGTTGTGAGTGTATGACTGTGGTTGTGAGTGTATCACTGTGATTGTGAGTGTGTGACTGTGGTTGTGTATGACTGTGGTTGTGAGTGTATGACTGTGGTTGTGTATGACTGTGGTTGTGAGTGTATGACTGTGGTTGTGAGTGTGTGACTGTGACTGTGGTTGTGTGTGACTGTGGTTGTGAGTGTGTGACTGTGGTTGTGAGTGTATGACTGTGGTTGTGAGTGTGTGACTGTGGTTGTGACTATGGTTGTGAGTGTATGACTGTGGTTGTGAGTGTATGACTGTGGTTGTGTGTGACTGTGGTTGTGAGTGTATGACTGTGGTTGTGAGTGTATGACTGTGGTTGTGAGTGTGTGACTGTGGTTGTGTATGACTGTGGTTGTGAGTGTATGACTGTGGTTGTGTATGACTGTGGTTGTGAGTGTATGACTGTGGTTGTGAGTGTGTGACTGTGACTGGTTGTGAGTGTGACTGTGGTTGTGAGTATATGACTGTGGTTGTGAGTGTATGACTATAGTTGTGAATGTGTGACTGTGGTTGTGAGTGTATGACTGTGGTTGTGAGTGTATGACTGTGGTTGTGAGTGTGTGACTGTGGTTGTGAGTGTATGACTGTGGTTGTGAGTGTATGACTGTGGTTGTGAGTGTGTGACTGTGGTTGTGAGTGTATGACTGTGGTTGTGAGTGTATCACTGTGATTGTGAGTGTGTGACTGTGGTTGTGTATGACTGTGGTTGTGAGTGTATGACTGTGGTTGTGTATGACTGTGGTTGTGAGTGTATGACTGTGGTTGTGAGTGTGTGACTGTGACTGTGGTTGTGTGTGACTGTGGTTGTGAGTGTGTGACTGTGGTTGTGAGTGTATGACTGTGGTTGTGAGTGTGTGACTGTGGTTGTGACTATGGTTGTGAGTGCATGACTGTGGTTGTGAGTGTGTGACTGTGGTTGTGTGTGACTGTGGTTGTGAGTGTATAACTGTGGTTGTGAGTGACTGTGGTTGTGAGTGTGTGACTGTGACTGGTTGTGAGTGTGTGACTGTGGTTGTGAGTGTGACTGTGGTTGTGAGTGTATGACTGTGGTTGTGAGTGTGTGACTGTGACTGGTTGTGAGTGTGACTGTGGTTGTGAGTGTATGACTGTGGTTGTGAGTGTGTGACTGTGGTTGTAAGTGTGTGACTGTGGTTGTTAGTGTATGACTGTGGTTGTGAGTGTATGACTGTGGTTGTGAGTGTGTGACTGTGGTTGTGTATGACTGTGGTTGTGAGTGTATGACTGTGGTTGTGTATGACTGTGGTTGTGAGTGTTTGACTGTGGTTGTGAGTGTATGACTGTGGTTGTGAGTGTATGACTGTGGTTGTGAGTGTATGACTGTGGTTGTGAGTGTGTGACTGTGGTTGTGAGTGTATGACTGTGGTTGTGAGTGTATGACTGTGGTTGTGAGTGTGTGACTGTGGTTGTGAGTGTGTGACTGACTGGTTTTGCGTGTGACTGTGGTTGTGAGTGTGTGACTGTGGTTGTGAGTGTATGATTGTGGTTGTGAGTGTGTAACTGTGGCTGTAAGTGTGTGACTGTGACTGGTTGTCAGTGTATGACTGTGGTTGTGTGTGACTGTGGTTGTGAGTGTGTGACTGTGGTTGTGTATGACTGTGGTTGTGAGTGTATGACTGTGGTTGTGAGTGTGTGACTGTGGTTGTGTATGACTGTGGTTGTGAGTGTATGACTGTGGTTGTGAGTGTGTGACTGTGACTGTGGTTGTGTGTGACTGTGGTTGTGAGTGCATGACTGTGGTTGTGTATGACTGTGGTTGTGAGTGTTTGACTGTGGTTGTGAGTGTATGACTATGGTTGTGAGTGTATGACTGTGGTTGTGAGTGTGTGACTGTGGTTGTGAGTGTATGACTGTGGTTGTGAGTGTATGACTGTGGTTGTGAGTGTGTGACTGTGGTTGTGAGTGTATGACTGTGGTTGTGAGTGTGTAACTGTGGTTGTAAGTGTGTGACTGTGACTGGTTGTCAGTGTATGACTGTGGTTGTGTGTGACTGTGGTTGTGAGTGTGTGACTGTGGTTGTGTGTGACTGTGGTTGTGAGTGTGTGACTGGTTGTGAGTGACTGTGGTTGTGAGTGTATGACTGTGGTTGTGAGTGTGTGACTGTGGTTGTGAGTGCGACTGTTCACGAACCCTCATCTCTGGAGTATCCCTCCCCCGAGTGCGGCTCAAAGAGATACCCACCTGTGGCCAACTCGAAGGCCTGGGATGTGAGACAGAGGGACACACGGACACCGTGATGTGAGACTAGTGGTGTGGTTCTAGCGGTACTAGAGGTACTAGCGGTGTGGTGTGGTACTAGTGGTACTAGTGGTACTAGTGGTGTAGTACTAGTGGTACTAGTGGTGTGGTACTAGTGGTGTCGTACTAGTGGTACTAGTGGTACTAGTGGTGTGGTACTAGTGTTGTGGTTCTAGTGGTACTAGTGGTGTCGTTCTAGTGGTACTAGTGGTGTGGTACTAGTGGTACTAGTGGTGTGGTTCTAGTGGTACTAGTGGTGTGGTACTAGTGGTACTAGTGGTGTGGTACTAGTGGTGTGGTACTAGTGGTACTAGTGTTGTGGTTCTAGTGGTGTGGTACTAGTGGTACTAGTGGTGTGCTTCTAGTGGTACTAGTGGTGTGGTACTAGTGGTGTGGTTCTAGTGGTACTAGTGGTGTGGTTCTAGTGGTACTAGTGGTGTTGTTCTAGCGGTACTAGTGGTATTAGTGATGTGGTACTGGTGGTACTAGTGGTACTACTGGTACTAGTGGTGTGGTACTAGTGGTGTGGTTCTAGCGGTACTAGTGGTATTAGTGGTGTGGTACTAGTGGTGTGGTTCTAGTGGTGTGGTACTAGTAGTGTGGTTCTAGTTGTACTAGTGGTGTGGTACTAGTGATGTGGTAGTAGTGGTGTGGTACTAGTAGTGTGGTACTAGCGGTACTAGTGGTGTGGTTCTAGTGGTGTGGTACTAGTAGTGTGGTACTAGCGGTTCTAGTGGTGTGGTTCTAGTGGTACTAGTGGTGTGGTACTAATGGTGTGGTACTAGTGGTCCTAGTAGCGTGGTACTAGCGGTACTAGTGGTGTGGTTCTAGTGGTACTACTGGTGTGGTACTAGTGGTGTGGTACTAGTAGTGTGGTTCTAGCGGTACTAGTGGTGTGGCACTAGTGGCACTAGTGGTACTAGTGGTGTGGTTACTAGTAGTGTGGTTCTAGTGGAACTAGTGGGTTGGTACTATTGGTGTGGTATAAGTTGTACTAGTGGTGTGGTACTAGTGACGTGGTACTAGTGGTGTGGTACTAGTGGTACTAGTGGTGTGGTACTAGTGGTACTAGTGGTGTGGTACTAGTGGTGTGGTTCTAGTGGTACTAGTGGTATTAGTGGTACTAGTGGTGTGGTTGTAGTGGTACTAGTGGTATTAGTGGTACTAGTGGTGTGGTTGTAGTGGTACTAGTGGCATTAGTGGTACTAGTGGTATGGTAATAGTGGTTCTAGTGGTGTGGTTCTTGTGGTGTGGTACTAGTGGTGTGGTTCTAGCGGTACTAGTGGTGTGGTACTAGCAGTACTAGTGGTGTGGCACTAGTGGTACTAGTGGTGTGGTACTAGTGGTGTGGTTCTAGTGGTACTAGTGGTACTAGTGGTGTGGTACTAGTGGTGTGGTACTAGTGGTACTAGTGGTGTGGTTCTAGTGGTACTAGTGGTGTTGTTCTAGCGGTACTAGTGGTACTAGTGGTCTGGTACTAGTGGTGTGGTTCTAGTAGTACTAGTGGTACTAGTGGTGTGGTACTAGTGGTGTGGTTCTAGTGGTTCTAGTGGTACTAGTGGTGTGGTTCTAGTGGTACTAGTGGTGTGGTTCTAGCGGTACTAGTGGTACTAGTGGTGTGGTACTAGTGGTACTAGTGGTGTGGTACTAATGGTGTGGTACTAGTGGTACTAGTAGCGTGGTACTAGCGGTACTAGTGGTGTGGTTCTAGTGGTACTACTGGTGTGGTACTAGTGGTGTGGTACTAGTAGTGTGGTTCTAGCGGTACTAGTGGTGTGGCACTAGTGGTACTAGTGGTACTAGTGGTGTGGTTACTAGTAGTGTGGTTCTAGTGGAACTAGTGGGGTGGTACTAGTGGCGTGGTACTAGTGGTGTGGTACTAGTGGTACTAGTGGTGTGGTACTAGTGGTACTAGTGGTGTGGTACTAGTGGTGTGGTTCTAGTGGTACTAGTGGTGTGGTACTAGTGGTACTAGTGGTGTGGTACTAGTGGTGTGGTTCTAGTGGTACTAGTGGTGTGGTACTAGTGGTACTAGTGGTGTGGTACTAGTGGTGTGGTTCTAGTGGTACTAGTGGTGTGGTACTAGTGGTGTGGTTCTAGTGGTACTAGTGGTGTGGTACTAGTGGTGTGGTTCTAGTGGTACTAGTGGTGTGGTACTAGTGGTACTAGTGGTGTGGTACTAGTGGTGTGGTTCTAGTGGTACTAGTGGTGTGGTACTAGTGGTACTAGTGGTGTGGTACTAGTGGTGTGGTTCTAGTGGTACTAGTGGTATTAGTGGTACTAGTGGTGTGGTTCTAGTGGTACTAGTGGTATTAGTGGTACTAGTGGTGTGGTTCTAGTGGTACTAGTGGTATTAGTGGTACTAGTGGTGTGGTTGTAGTGGTACTAGTGGTATTAGTGGTACTAGTGGTATGGTACTAGTGGTTCTAGTGGTGTGGTTCTTGTGGTGTGGTACTAGTTCTGTGGTTCTAGCGCTACTAGTGGTATGGTACTAGCGGTACTAGTGGTGTGGCACTAGTGGTACTAGTGGTGTGGTCCTAGTGGTGTGGTTCTAGTGGTACTTTTGGTGTGGTCCTAGTGGTGTGGTACTAGTGGTACTAGTGGTGTGGTACTAGTGGTGTGGTTCTAGTGGTACTAGTGGTACTAGTGGTGTGGTACTAGTGGTGTGGTTCTAGTGGTAGTAGTGGTGTGGTTCTAGCGGTACTAGTGGTACTAGTGGTGTGGTACTAGTGGTGTGGTTCTAGTAGTACTAGTGGTGTGGTACTAGTGGTGTGGTTCTAGTGGTAGTAGTGGTGTGGTTCTAGCGGTACTAGTGGTACTAGTGGTGTGGTACTAGTGGTGTGGTACTAGTGGTACTAGTGGTGTGGTTCTAGTGGTACTAGTGGTGTTGTTCTAGCGGTACTAGTGGTACTAGTGGTGTGGTACTAGTGGTGTTGTTCTAGTAGTACTAGTGGTGTGGTACTAGTGGTGTGGTTCTAGTGGTACTAGTGGTGTGGTTCTAGCGGTACTAGTGGTACTAGTGGTGTGGTACTAGTGGTGTGGTTCTAGTGGTTCTAGTGGTACTAGTGGTGTGGTTCTAGTGGTACTAGTGGTGTGGTTCTAGCGGTACTAGTGGTACTAGTGGTGTGGTACTGGTGGTACTAGTGGTGTGGTACTAGTGGTGTGGTTCTAGTGGTACTAGTGGTACTAGTGGTGTGGTACTAGCGGTACTAGTGGTGTGCTACTAGTGGTGTGGTACTAGTGGTACTAGTGGTGTGGTACTAGTGGTGTGGTTCTAGTGGTACTAGTGGTGTGGTTCTAGTGGTACTAGTGGTGTGGTTCTAGCGGTACTAGTGGTATTAGTGGTGTGGTACTAGTGGTACTAGTGGTGTGGTACTAGTGGTGTGGTTCTAGCGGTACTAGTGGTATTAGTGGTGTGGTACTAGTGGTGTGGTTCTAGTGGTACTAGTGGTGTGGTACTAGTGGTGTGGTACTAGTAGTGTGGTTCTAGTTGTACTAGTGGTGTGGTACTAGTGATGTGGTACCAGTGGTGTGGTACTAGTAGTGTGGTACTAGCGGTACTAGTGGTGTGGTTCTAGTGGTGTGGTACTAGTAGTGTGGTACTAGCGGTTCTAGTGGTGTGGTTCTAGTGGTACTAGTGGTGTGGTACTAATGGTGTGGTACTAGTGGTACTAGTAGCGTGGTACTAGCGGTACTAGTGTTGTGGTTCTAGTGGTACTACTGGTGTGGTACTAGTGGTGTGGTACTAGTAGTGTGGTTCTAGCAGTACTAGTGGTGTGGCACTAGTGGTACTAGTGGTACTAGTGGTGTGGTTACTAGTAGTGTGGTTCTAGTGGAACTAGTGGGGTGGTACTAGTGGTGTGGTACTAGTGGTACTAGTGGTGTGGTACTAGTGGCGTGGTACTAGTGGTGTGGTACTAGTGGTACTAGTGGTGTGGTACTAGTGGTGCTAGTGGTGTGGTACTAGTGGTGTGGTTCTAGTGGTACTATTGGTATTAGTGGTACTAGTGGTGTGGTTGTAGTGGTACTAGTGGCATTAGTGGTACTAGTGGTATGGTACTAGTGGTTCTAGTGGTGTGGTTCTGTTGGTGTCGTACTAGTGGTGTGGTTCTAGCGGTACTAGTCGTGTGGTACTAGCGGTACTAGTGGTGTGGCACTAGTGGTACTAGTGGTTTGGTGCTAGTGGTGTGGTTCTAGTGGTACTTTTGGTGTGGTACTAGTGGTGTGGTACTAGTGGTACTAGTGGTGTGGTACTAGTGGTGTGGTTCTAGTGGTACTAGTGGTACTAGTGGTGTGGTACTAGTGGTGTGGTTCTAGTGGTAGTAGTGGTGTGGTTCTAGCGGTACTAGTGGTACTAGTGGTGTGGTACTAGTGGTACTAGTGGTGTGGTTCTAGTGGTACTAGTGGTGTTGTTCTAGCGGTACTAGTGGTACTAGTGGTGTGGTACTAGTGATGTGGTTCTAGTAGTACTAGTGGTACTAGTGGTGTGGTACTAGTGGTGTGGTTCTAGTGGTTCTAGTGGTACTAGTGGGGTGGTTCTAGTGGTACTAGTGGTGTGGTTCTAGCGGTACTAGTGGTACTAGTGGCGTGGTACTAGTGGTACTAGTGGTGTGGTACTAATGGTGTGGTACTAGTGGTACTAGTAGCGTGGTACTAGCGGTACTAGTGGTGTGGTTCTAGTGGTACTACTGGTGTGGTACTAGTGGTGTGGTACTAGTAGTGTGGTTCTAGCGGTACTAGTGGTGTGGCACTAGTGGTACTAGTGGTACTAGTGGTGTGGTTACTAGTAGTGTGGTTCTAGTGGAACTAGTGGGGTGGTACTAGTGGTGTGGTACTAGTGGTACTAGTGGTGTGGTACTAGTGGCGTGGTACTAGTGGTGTGGTACTAGTGGTACTAGTGGTGTGGTACTAGTGGTACTAGTGGTGTGGTACTAGTGGTGTGGTTCTAGTGGTACTAGCGGTATTAGCCGCGGACCATGCAGGCGGTGCTCCAGATGTCAGCCGGCGTTCCGTACTCGGCCCCCAGCAGCACCTCCAGGGCGCGGTACTGCCGCGTCTGGATGTCGTCCGAGAAGTGCTTGTCCTGAATGAGGTCACGGCACAGAGGTCACGGCACAACAGGGGTCATGGCACAGAGGTCACGGCACAGGGGTCACGGCACAGAGGTCACGGTACGGGGCACAGGGGTCACTGTGTTGTGGTCACAGCATAGGTCATGGCACAGTTCATGGCACAGGGGTTACTTTACAGGTCACGTTACAGGGGTCACGGTATGGGGAGGAGAATTCGTTGTTGCCACAGCATAGGTCATGACACAGGGGTCATGGCAGAGGGGTTAGTTTATAGGTCACGGAACAGGGGTCACGGCATAGGTCATGGCACAGGGGTCATGGCACAGGGGTCAGTTTACAGGTCACAGCACAGGGGTCACGGCATAGGTCATGGCACAGGGCTCATGGCACAGGGGTCAGTTTACAGGTCACGGCATAGGTCACGGCACAGGGGTCATGGCACAGGGGTCAGTTTACAGGTCACGGCACAGGGGTCACGGCATAGGTCACGGCACAGGGCTCATGGCACAGGGGTCAGTTTACAGGTCACGGCACAGGGGTCACGGCATAGGTCACGGCACAGGGCTCACTGCGTTGTGGTCACGGCATAGGTCATGGGTAACATCAACAAGCGAGTAATGTCAGAACAAGTCCCGGGTCGCCGATAGGTCGATTCAGCCTTAATCGAATACAGTACCTGCTGTTGCTGTGAAACATCAGCACTGGGGAGTCAAAGGCGGCTGAGCGTTGGTCCTGGGCTGCATCGATGTGTTCTCGACCAGCACTTGCCCACAAATATAATCGATGGCGATCGTGATGGCTTTGGTGGTGACTTGGCGATCTGAGTGGTTGTGATGGTGGTGGTGGTAGTGCAGCGGTTAGCTCGGAGCGCTACGAACCCGGCAGCCTGGTCCTGGGCCTCCCCTAGGTAAAATCAGCCTGAAATGAGTAGCTGGTGCAGTGTGCAAACATCGCCACTGGGGAGACAAAGGCGGCCGGGCGTTGTGCTGGCCACCCACACCCTCGTGTGCCGTTCCGGCCTTCACAGGTGCTCGCTAACAGCACTTGCGCCGACAGTCTGTTGCAGGCTACACGGGGGATCTTCGTCCTTGGAGGTGATCATAGTGATGGAATACTGTCGATGAGATGGTGATTGGTGGTGGTGATAGCGGTGGTGAGGTAGTGGTGTGATGATTAAGGTGGTGGAGGTGATTATTATAATGATGTCGAAAGTTCTGACGTGGTCGTAATGGTGGTGGGCGGTGGTTGAGGCGATAGTGGTGATCGATGTGGTGAGGTGGTGAGATGATGGTGAGAGTGACAGGAGATGTGGTGGTGGTGGTCATATTGATGGAGGTAGCGGTGGTGAGGTGTGACTGTGCGTTAATCTCTGTCAAGGCGGCGAGACGGTGGTGATGGTGTAAGTGGCGAGGTGGAGGTGACATTGGTGGAGGTGGTGGTGATGGTGATGGTGTAAGTGGCGAGGTGGAGGTGACATTGGTAGAGGTGGTGGTGGTGGTGGTGATGGTGTAAGTGGCGAGGTGGAGGTGACATTGGTGGAGGTGGTGGTGATTGTGTAAGTGGCGAGGTGGTGGTGACATTGGTGGAGGTGGTGGTGGTGATGGTGTAAGTAGCGAGGTGGAGGTGACATTGGTGGAGGTGGTGGTGGTGGTGGTGGTGTAAGTGGCGAGGTGGAGGTGACATTGGTGCAGGTGGTGGTGGTGATGGTGTAAGTGGCGAGGTGGAGGTGACATTGGTGGAGGTGGTGGTGGTGATGGTGTAAGTGGCGAGGTGGAGGTGACATTGGTGGTGGTGGTGGTGGTGGTGATGTTGTAAGTGGCGAGGTGGAGGTGACATTGGTGGAGGTGGTGATGGTGTAAGTGGCGAGGTGGAGGTGACATTGGTGGAGGTGGTGGTGGTGGTGGTGGTGGTGTAAGTGGCGAGGTGAAGGTGACATTGGTGGAGGTGGTGGTGATGGTGATGTTGTAAGTGGCGAGGTGGAGGTGACATTGGTGGAGGTGGTCGTGGTGGTGGTGATGGTGTAAGTGACGAGGTAGAGTTGACATTGGTGGAGGTGGTGATGGTGATGGTGTAAGTGGCGAGGTGGAGGTGACATTGGTGGAGGTGGTGATGGTGATGGTGTAAGTGGCGAGGTGGAGGTGACATTGGTGGAGGTGGTGGTGGTGATGGTGTAAGTGGCGAGGTGGAGGTGACATTGGTGGAGGTGGTGGTGATGGTGTAAGTGGCGAGGTGGAGGTGACATTGGTGGAGGTGGTGGTGGTGATGGTGTAAGTGGCGAGGTGGAGGTGACATTGGTGGAGGTGGTGGTGTTGGTGTAAGTGGCGAGGTGGAGGTGACATTGGTGCAGGTGGTGGTGGTGATGGAAGATGTAAATGGTGGTCGTGAATTAGATCTCGTAGGTCTTTTTGGATGAGGTGGTGGTAATAGTGGTGGCGGTAATGGAGAAGGTGATGGATTAGGGCGGTGGAGAACGAGGAGGTGAAGGAGCTGGAGGAGGAGGTGGAGGAGGAGGTGGTGGAGGAGGTGGAGGAGGTGGAGATGGAGGAGGTGGAGGAGATGGAGGAGGTGGAGGAGGAAGTGGAGGAGGTGGAGGAGATGGAAGAGGTGGAGGAGGAGGTGGAGGAGGTGGAGGAGGTGGAGATGGAAGAGGTGGAGGTGGAGGAGGAGGTGGAGGAGGTGGAGGAGGAGGTGGATGCGGTGGAAGGAGGAGGTGGAGGAGGTGGAAGGAGGAGTTGGAGGAGGTGGATGAGGATGTGGAGGAGGTGGAGGAGGAGGTGGAGGAAGTAGAGGAGGTGGAGGGGGAGATGGAGGAGGTGGAGGAGATGGAGGAGGTGGAGGACGTGGAGGGGGAGATGGAGGAGGTGGAGGAGGTGGAGGAGGTGGAGGTAGAGGAGGTGGAGGAGGAGGTGGAGGAGGTGGAGGAGGTGGAGGGGGAGATGGAGGAGGTGGAGGAGGTGGAGGAGGAGGTGGAGGAGGTGAAAGGGGAGATGGAGGAGGTGGAGGAGGAGGTGGAGGAGGTGGAGTAGGTGGAGGAGGAGGTGGAGGAGGAGGAGGTGGAGGAGGTCGTACCACCCAGCAGGCGTTTCCCAGGTCGACCACCTTCACCAGGAGATGTTCGGCGCTTGCCGGGTCCAGGACGTCTGGCAGCAGATCCGCAGCGCTCGGGACGACTGTGGCCAATCACCACGAACCGTGTCGGTTAACTCTTTGAAATCATCGACTTTTCCTTCATTTTCTTAAATCTTATCCATATATATAACACGCACAAACGCAACTTTAGTTTCTGATTTGATATTCATGCTTTCGACTTAAGTGCAAAAAGCAACGTACATTTATCACAATCGACCTATGTGTGTATGTGCAGTACGTTGAACTTCTTTCGCGCCGTACGTAGCCAACCGCGCTAATCGGAGGTGCGAGCGTAAGGACAACAAACTAAACACAAAAAGCAGTTCTGTAGAAACGAGTTTGTCAATCTAGATGATGATTTAAAAGCACGCACATATATATCTAGCGGATTCCTAATATCGGAAGGGAGAGCGTTCCAGACGGCCGCAGAAGAGCATCTGAAAGCGCCGCGCGATGCGGTGACCGCTGTCTTTGTTCGCCGTTTAGTCAAAAGCCGCCGCCGCTGCTGCTGCGAGGATGAATGGAGTTTGCATGGTGATGGTTTGTGATCCGTGACGAGAACAGCGAGGAACTGCGGCTCATTTGTTGCACAGCAGTTTGGTGGGTGCCAAGGGATGGGACAGGAGCCAGCATTGGGTCCAACGGTGGCTAGGAGATGTTAACTACCTCGCTTGGTGTACAGGAGGTTGTGGGTTCGATCCCGAGCCTGACGCCTGCTGCTGTATATTTGGAGTTTGCGTGTCTCTCTGTCATCATCATCATCACGGTGGCTAGGAGATGTTAACTACCTCGCCTGGTGTACAGGAGGTTGTGGGTTCAAACCCGACCCTGACACCTGCTGTATATTTGGAGTTTGCGTGTCTCTCTCTCTCATCATCATCACGGTGGCTAGGAGATGTTAACTACCTCGCCTGATATACAGGAGGTCGTGGGTTCGATCCCGACCCTGACGCCTGTTGCTGTATATTTGGAGTTTGCGTGTCTCTCTCTCTCATCGTCATCACGGTGGCTAGGAGATGTTAACTACCTCGCCTGGTGTACAGGAGGTTGTGGGTTTGATCCCGAGCCTGACGCCTGCTGCTGTATGTTTGGAGTTTGCGTGTCTCTCTCTCTCTCTCATCATCATCACGGTGGCTAGGAGATGTTAACTACCTCGCCTGGTATACAGGAGGTCGTGGGTTCAATCCCGACCCTGACGCCTGCTGCTGTATATTTGGAGTTTGCGTGTCTCTCTGTCATCATCATTATCATCATCACGGTGGCTAGGAGATGTTAACTACCTCGCCTGGTATACAGGAGGTCGTGGGTTCGATCCCGACCCTGACGCCTGCTGCTGTATATTTGGAGTTTGCGTCTCTCTCTCTCTCCCCGTGGTGGTCGCGTGGATTTTTCTCCGGGGTCCTCCGGTTTTTCCCTCTACATTTAGAATCAACATCACCACGCGTTTAGAGTGTTTGGCCGCTGTAAATTCCCACGTGATGATGATGACAAGCCACTTCGTCGAGCACTCATTCGTGATTTCCAGTTCGCTTCTGAAAACAGAGCCACACAGCTCAGCGGGGACCTCACCTGGTAAGTAAAACATATTTTAGTTCATCGTTAAGTTTGATAGTTGATTCTCTACGTCCGTTCCTGGGCAGAACGAAACATCTCTGTGGAAGGGGAACGTTCAAATTCCGCGTTGACACCGCGGCAGACGAACGTGGGACTCACCGTGCAGTGGAGTGGCTGGCGAGGAGAGTTCCTCCATCGTCACCGCTCCCCTTTCCTCCCTCCCCCCTGCTCCCCCATCCACTAAATCCTCACTCCCCGCTGCTTCCCCTTCCACTCCATCCGCGCTCTCCCCATCCACCCCGTTCTCACTCACCCCTTCCTCCCCATCTTCACTCCCCACTACTCCCCCATCCACTCCATCCTCACTCCCCACTACTCCCCCATCCACTAAATCCTCACTCCCCACTACTCCCCCATCCACTCCATCCTCACTCCCCACTACTCCCCCTTCCACTCCATCCACGCTCTCCCCATCCACCCCGTTCTCACTCACCCCTTCTCCCCCATCCTCACTCCCCGCTGCTCCACCACCCTCCTCATCCTCACTCCTCCCTACCAACTCTGCCTCCCAATTCTCAATCCTCGTCAAGTCCCCATCCTCGCCATGACCGCCCCCCATCACCTCCCAATCCCCGCCATCGTCGCTGCCGCCTGCCCCCCCTTCCTCCTCGTCTTCCCTCCCCATCACCCCCCATTCTTCCCCAAACTCGTTGTCCTCCTGCCCACCCGCGCCCCCTCCCGTCGCTCCCCATCCCTCGCCATCATCGCCGCTGCTCATCGCTCCCCCTTCTTCCTCCTCCTCCTCGTCGCTCCTCGCGGGGCGGAGTCGTCGCTGGGGCCGCGGCGCTCCTTCGCTCGTCGCCGCCATCGCCGCTCTGCGTTTCTCCTCCTCCTCCTCCTCTTCCCTCCTGCCGTACGATTGCTCCCTCCACCTGCGCGGAGGTCCCTGCGGATGATTGCGCGGAGCGGGACGACGGGCGCCGTTTGTTACGGCGTTGAGACGACGCTCCGGTGCGCGCTCGCGACCCGGGGCTCTGATGGGTCGAGCGGAGTATTAGCAATTCCCGGTCATCCTGCTTAGATTCCGACGATGGTGAGGCGGGGTGGGTGGGGAGGTGAATGTGTGGATGGTCGGGGAGACGGGTGGGGAGGTGGGTGGGGGTTGGTGTGCTTGACACCAGGACCTACCGTGGAGCTGATCTGCCCACTGACCAACGACTAGTCATCTGCAAAATGCTGCGCCTGCCATTCTTCATCTCCGGTGGTGGGTGTACACCCAGGACCCCGATCAAACCCACAGTGGCGTTGGTCTCAACGAGCTGATGAAAGTTGCAAGCGAGAATTTCATCATCGCTTGCGGCTGGGATTGGCATCGTCCCCCACTCCCCCTGATGTCGAGGGTAAATGGGCGAGGTTTAGGACTGTGACTCATGCAGCTGCAATGGCTGTTTTGGGTACACGGTCCAGACCTCCCCAGAGACCCTGGCTGACAGAGGAGGTGTTGAGGCTGGCTGAGAAAAAGCGACAGGCCCACTGTCATCGGCTACAGAATCCCACATCAGAGAATGAGGAGGCTTACCGCAGCCTTCGCTCGGAGGTTCGGAGAGCCGTGAGGCGCTGCAAAGATGGGTGGTGGTCGCGGGTTGCTGAGGAGATGGAATTTGCCTCAGTGGCCCGCGATCACAAATCGCTCTTTAATTCCATCAAAAAAGTAACCTGCAGCGCCACACCTATTACCATCAGGGGAAAGAACGGTGATCCAATCTCCGACCCCCTGGAACAGGTTTGCAGATTTGCTGAGCATTTCTGTGAGGTCCTGAGAGAGGGGAAATCCCTCAGCCTGGAAAATATCATGGGGCAAAGTGGGGATGACCCTGCCGAGGCTGCAGTGCCTCAAATATTGGAAGAAGTCAACTCAATGTGAGTGGCTGGCTGACGTGCCATCTGTAAAATTACATCGGAGCCATTCCCCGTTCACCTTGGGGTGCGACAGGGATGTCCTCTAGCTCCCACATTATTTAACATCTATTTCCACCACGTGGTACAGATACAATGGGAGGTTGATCGATGCCTGGGTGCGGTCAAGGGATGGCTCCCTATTGGTCAACCATGTTACGTATGCCGATGATCTGGTAATTGCTGCTCACTCAGAGGAGGAGTTGGAGGTGCTGCTGCTGAACCTGGAGCTTGTCACTAAGAGGTGGGATCTTACCATCAGCCCCAACAAAACTAGGCACCTGCCTGGGTATTTTGTACCATCAGACACTCCACCCCCATCATTCGCAATTGGTGATGGGGCAGTTGTGGAGAGAGTGGAGAGTGACAGCAGAGGGCTCACTCTGAATCAGTCGAGCGGCAATATCTTTTTATCGACTGCATAACGCTTTGTGGAAGTTACCTGGTCTGTCGCTCCGCATGAAGCTTCAGGTTTTCTTGGCCACAGTCATGCCCTCCCTTCTTTACACTTGTCAAACGTGGACCCCCTTAATGAAACATCTTCGCCGGTTAGAAATATTTAGGCTGGCCTGCCTACGATCCATCCTGGGTTTAACCAGGCTGGATTGTGTTAGGAGCTCACAAATCCTTGAAAGATCTGGGCACGGTCCCATCGGTGAGCTCCTCCGGCTGGCCAGGCTGCGTTGGCTGGGTCATGTAGCCCGCATGCCCAGCCACCGCATGCCTAAACGACTTTTGTTCGGCCGGATCGAGGGGGCTAAACGCGCGCGGCACGGGCTAGAGAAGAGATGGAGTGATGTGGTACTGGAGGACGTGGAGCTGAGTGGACTTGCCGATGACTGGTACCAGCGGTGTCAAGATCAGCCTCTGTGGAGGAGGCTCGTGAAGGACGCTGCTACTGGGCAGTTGGAAGCAGTCTCCTTCCAACAGCAACGGAGGGCGGAGGAGCGACGCTCACAACAACGAGCGGAGCGCCGGGTGGCTAAAGCACAGCGAGTTGGCACAGTAGGGGGCACAGGTGGTGCATCGGCCAGTCATCTCAGTCAGTCGACCCGTGGCACCTCGGTCTGCCCCGTGACCTCCTGCCAGCGGGCGTTCGACACTTCACGTGGCCTCAAGGTGCACATGGCCTGGCACAAGCGTCGTGGTGACGTCACCGCCACTTAGCGCTGAATGGCGGTTGTTGTTGGGGGTTGGTGGGTAGAGGTTGGTGGGGAGGCGGGTGGGGTGGGAGTGTGGCGGCCTAGCGCAACGCCGCGCTACGAACCCGGCGACCCGAGTTCGATTCCCACTCACGGCCGACATCGGTGACAATTATCTGAACCGGTCCCGGGCCTCCCCTAGGTCGACTCAGCCTGGGGCTGGTGGTCGTGTTGGGGGGGGGGGAGGGGGGGGAGTAGGCGGTAGTGGGTGGGTTGGTGGTGAGTTGGTGGGGGGGTGGGGGGGGTGGGGGGGGTGGGTGGGTGGAGGCTCGCCCGCACCTGCGCCGGCACACCTGTGCGCCGGCGGTCCGTGGCGTGAGCGGCCAGCCTGCGCAGGTAGTCGTCCCCGACGCACAGCAGCACGTTCTCGGGCTTGATGTCCGTGTGGATGACCCCGCAGCGCCCGTGGAGGTACTCCAGGGCCTGCAGCACCTGGGGGGGGGAAACGCGGAGGGGTGGGGGTGGGTGTCTGCAGACCGTCGCTCGCAGGCCGCTAATTGCGCGTCCCTTTTAGCAAAACGAAACGAACGCGTTCGCCGTGAAGCCGCCCGCTCCCGTCGAGTCGACGGCGGGGTTTCGCCTGCCGAGATTAACAAAAACACATTGCTTCAGTTTCATTCGTATTTAAAAAAAATTTTTTTTAAAGCGATTCGTTTACTTCGCGCCCCTGCCGTGTTTTTAATTTTGTATTTGCTTGTTGCGACGTTCTGAAGTGCCGCGGCCGTACATCTGTGACATAAGCCTTTCCTGATAAAAAAATAAATACGGATATATAGGCTGACGTTTCGGGCAATGGCCCTGCGTCATTGCACGCGCGCTACGTCAAGGGCCCCCGTTGCCTGAAACGAGTCGGCTGCGCTCCACAGATTCTTCCCCTTCAAGGCACCGCCGCTGTCGTGGTGTCAGTGACGAACGCGTTTAGTTGCTTGGCAACTCTAAGGGGCCGTCCATAAATGACGTCACGCACCTAGTACGGGGGGGAGGGGCATGGGGGTCAGACAATTGTGACGATGTGTGACGAGGGGGAGAGGTGGGGTTGAGAAATGTGACGTCACATCAGAATGCGCAACTTTAAATAAATATATAATGGTTATAACACCACTCCTACAACATCGGAGTGCAGTGCCACATTAAATACGCACTACAATGACAATAGTTTAAAGAGATTTGAAGCACGTTTTATTTTCAAAATGAAAATATGTTTTTTTTTAGGGGGGGGCAGAGCTTTGTGACGTCATATTTGAGGGGGGGGGTCTGACTTTGTGTGACGCCGTGTGACGAGGAGGAGGAGGGGGGGTCAAAAATCGTCCAAAATCGCGTGACGTCATTTATGGACGGCCCTTAAAAGGATGACGATGACGAAATACCGCGTGACGATGACGACGAAATACCACGTGACCATGACGATGAAATACCACGTGACCATGACGACGACGAAATACCACGTGACCATGACGACGACGAAATACCGCGTGACCATGACGACGACGAAATACCGCGTGACCATGACGACGAAATACCACGTGACCATGACGACAACGAAATACCGCGTGACCATGACGACGAAATACCACGTGACCATGACGACGACGAAATACCACGTGACCATGGCGACGAAATACCGCGTGACCATGACGACGACGAAATACCACGTGACCATGGCGACGAAATACCGCGTGACCATGACGACGAAATACCGCGTGACCATGACGACGAAATACCACGTGACCATGACGACGACGAAATACCACGTGACCATGGCGACGAAATACCACGTGACCATGAGGACGACGAAATACCACGTGACCATGACGCCGACGGGGCCCACCTGCCGGATGATGGTCTTGACGCAGGCGATGGGGATTCCTCTGTAATTGGCCCTCACGATCCACAACAGCAGCTGCTGCCCCAACGCCTCGAACACCATGCACATGTCCACCGCGACGTCAAGGGAAGTTCCGACGGTCTTGCACCCACCCCCTGATCCTCGCACCACTCACAACTCACTCGCTCTGCCCCATCCCGGGCACTGCACTCGCAGTCGTCCGTCTCTGTGCCTCCCTCGAACCTGCGCCCAGCCTCGCTCGCTCGCTCGTTCCTTCGCCTTTCTCGCTCCACTCCACTCAGGAACCGACTCCCCCTGCGGCACACTCACTCACCCGCTCGCTGACCCACTCACTCACCCGGTCGCTCACCCACTCACTCACCCGCTCGCTGACCCACTTACTCACCCATTCACTTACCCACTCACTTACCCACTCACTCACCCGCTCGCTGATCCACTCACTCACTCACTGACCCACTCACTCACTCACTGACCCACTCACTCACCCACTCATTCGCTCACCCGCTAGCTGACCCACTCACTCACCCATTCACTTACCCACTCACTCACTCACCCACTCACTCACCCATTCACTTACCCACTCACTCACCCACTCACTCACCCGCTCGCTGATCCACTCACTCACTGACCCACTCACTCACTGATCCACTCACTCACCCACTCACTCACACACTCACCCGCTCGCTTATCCACTCACTCACTCACTGACCCACTCACTCACTCACTCGCTCACCCACTCACTGATCCACTCACTCACCCATTCACTTACCCACTCACTCACCCACTCACCCGCTCACTCACCCGCTCACTCACCCGCTCACTCACCCGCTCGCTGACCCACTCACTCACCTACTCACTCACCCACTCACTCACCCATTCACTTACCCACTCACTCACCCACTCACCCGCTTGCTGACCCACTCACTTACCCACTTACTCACCCACTCACTCACCCATTCACTTACCCACTCACTCACCCGCTCGCTGACCCACTCACTCACCCATTCACTTACCCACTCACTCACCCACTCACTCACCCGCTCGCTTATCCACTCACTCACTCACTCACCCACTCACTCGCTCACCCACTCACTGATCCACTCACTCACTCACCCACTCACTGACCCATAGACCCACTCACTCATTGACCCACTCACTCGCTCACCCACTCACTGACCCACTCACTCACTCACCCACTCACTGACTTACTCGCTCACCCACTCACTGACCCACTCCCTGACCTACTCGCTCACCCACTTACTGACCCACTCACCCACTCATGGTTGTCTAAGTACGGTCCGAAAGAAGTTCAACATACATACAACTTCACTGACCTGCTTCCATCTCTCCCTTAAAACAACCCCCATCACTCCTCTCCAAGCCCATCATCATCACCATCATCACCATCATCATCACCATCATCACCATCACCATCATCACCATCATCATCATCACCATCATCATCACCATCATCATCATCACCATCATCCTGCTACACCCTGCCCCCACCGGCCAGCTACGACCAGGCCTACTCCAACTCCTATCACAACCCCTACCACAACCACAATCACTACCCCTACCACTACCTCTACCACAACCACTACCCCTACCACTACCACTACTTCTACCACTACCCCAACCCCTACCACTACCCCTATCACTACCCCTACAACAATCACTATCACTACCCCAACCCCTACCACAATCACTACCCCTACCACTACCCCTACCACAATCACTACCCCAACCCCTACCACAACCACTACCCCTACCACTACCCACATCACAACCCCTATCACAACCACTACCCCTACCACAACCCCTACTACAATCACTATCACTACCCCAACCCCTACCACAACCACTACCCCTACCACTACCCCTACCCCAACCCCTACCACAACCACTACCCCTACCACTACCCCTACCACTACCCCCATCACAACCCCTATCACAACCACTACCCCTACCACTACCCCTACCACTACCCCTACGACAATCACTATCACTACCCCAACCCCTACCACAACCAATACCCCTACTACTACCCCTACCCCTACCACTACCCCTACTACAATCACTATCACTACCCGAACCCCTACCACAACCAATACCCCTACCACTACCCTTGCCCCTACAACAATCACTATCACTACCTCTATCACTACCCCAACCCTATCACTACCCTTACCCATTATGACTACCCCATCGCTATCACCACCCCTATCAATACCACTATCACTACCCCTTCCACAACCACCAACCCTATCACTAACCCTACCCCATCCCCTCCTGAACAACTCCAACCTGTCCCCCCTAACTGTCACCATAACTACTCCACCACTTTAATAACAACAACAACAACAACCCCAGCACCTCTTCACAATCTCAACCACTCCCATCTGACGTGCCATTGCACGGACTGCTGTACCACAGGGCGCCAGGCACATGAACCTAAGACGAGACCCCCGACCCCAGCACCGCCCCCACGCTGCCGCCGAGGGATACGGATCCCGTTGGGCCCGGACACTCTGAAGTTGTCGAGCAGAGCGACGACTCGTTCCCTGTACGGATCCTCGGAGTCCGCCTCCCGTATCTGTGAGCGACATGCCGGTGGGGGGGGGGGGGGAGGTGCATGTGGGTGGGGGTAGGGGTGGGTGGGGGTAGGGGTGGATGTTGGTGGGGGGGGGGTTGGTGGAGGGGTGGGTGTGGGGTGGGTTGGGATTGGGTGGGGGGCGGGTGGGGGTGGGGGTGGGTGCATGTGGGTGGCGGTGGGTGGGCATGGGTTGGTGGGTGTTGTTGGGTGGGGGTGGGTGGGGGGGCGGGTGGGGGTGGGGGGGTTGGGGGTGGGTGGGGGGGGCGGGTGGGGGGTGGGGGTGGGTGGGGGGGTGGGTGGGGTGGGGGCGGTGCATGTGGGTGGCGGTGGGTGGGGGTTGTTGGGTGGGAGATGGTGGGTGTTGTTGGTGGGTGTTGTTGGGTGGGTGTTGTTGGGTGGGTGTTGTTGGGTGGGTGGCGGTGGGTGGGTGTTGTTGGGTGGGGGTTGTTGGGTGGGGGTTGGTGGGTGTTGTTGGGTCCTCGTCCAGCGGTTCTTGGCCATCCTCCGCGAGGGGGGACGCTGCCCGCCCGACGCAGGCCGCGGGGGTGCCGGAGTGTCGCCGCTCACCCGCTGCAGGATGCTGACCTCGTCCCGTGCGGCCCGGGCGTAGTGCAGGGCACTCTTCACCACCTTGAGAGCCACGAAGCGCTTGGCCCTGGACGCAGCAAACGCAACGCGCCGCTCGGCTCCCGCACAGCTCCACTCAGCTCCACTCAGCTCCACTCAGCACCACTCAGCTCCACTCAGCACCACTCAGCTCCACTCAGCACCACTCAGCTCCACTCAGCTCCACTCAGCACCACTCAGCTCCACTCAGCTCCACTCAGCACCACTCAGCACCACTCAGCTCCACTCAGCTCCACTCAGCACCACTCAGCACCACTCAGCTCCACTCAGCACCACTCAGCTCCACTCAGCACCACTCAGCTCCACTCAGCACCACTCAGCACCACTCAGCTCCACTCAGCTCCATTCAGCACCACTCAGCTCCACTCAGCTCCACTCAGCACCACTCAGCTCCACTAAGCTCCACTCAGCTCCACTCAGCACCACTCAGCTCCACTCAGCTCCACTCAGCTCCACTCAGCACCACTCAGCTCCACTCAGCTCCACTCAGCTCCACTCAGCACCGCACAGCTCCACTCAGCTCCACTCAGCACCACTCAGCTCCACTCAGCACCACTCAGCTCCACTCAGCTCCACTCAGCTCCACTCAGCACCGCACAGCTCCACTCAGCTTCACTCAGCACCGCGACGTGGGCAACCACCGCAGTTGAGGATGAGAGGCAGAGAAGTTGTAATGGTGATGACGACGATTATGACCACGATGACGATGACGGCAATGATGATTATGACCACGATGACGATGACGGCAATGATGATTATGACCACGATAATGATGACGATGACGGCAATGATGATTATGACCACGATAATGATGACGATGAAGGCAATGATGATTATGACCACGATAATGACGACGATGACGACGATGATTATGACCATGATGACGATGACGGCAATGATGATTATGACCACGATAATGATGACGATGATGGCAATGATGATTATGACCACGATAATGATGACGATGAAGGCAATGATGATTATGACCACGATAATGATGACGATGAAGGCAATGATGATTATGACCACGATAATGACGACGATGACGACGATGATTATGACCACGATGACGATGATGACAATGATGATTATGACCACGATAATGATGACGATGACGGCAATGATGATTATGACCACGATAATGATGACGATGAAGGCAATGATGATTATGACCACGATAATGATGATGATGAAGGCAATGATGATTATGACCACGATAATGACGACGATGACGACGATGATTATGACCACGATGACGATGACGGCAATGATGATTATGACCACGATAATGATGACGATGAAGGCAATGATGATTATGACCACGATAATGATGACGATGAAGGCAATGATGATTATGACCACGATAATGACCACGATGACGGCAATGATGATTATGACCACGATAATGATGACGATGACGGCAATGATGATTATGACCACGATAATGATGACGATGACGGCAATGATGATTATGACCACGATAATGATGACGATGACGGCGATGATGATTATGACCACTTTAATGATGACGATGACGGCAATGATGATTATGCCAATGACTATTCAACAATGATGACGATCGCGATGGTGACGATCCTTATGGTGACGACGCTGACGACGACGGTGATGATGATGACGATGGTGCTGACTATGGCGACAATTGTCGGTGACGGCGATGATGACGATGATAACGGTGACATGATTGCGACGATGACGACGACAATGATTATGACGTCACGGATGGGCTGTAGGGGAGGGGCGAGGGGAGAGGGAATGGGCGATGATGAAGAGGTGGTGAGGGCTTTGAGAGAGGGACGTGAAGGAGGAGGGAGGGGGGTGGGGGACTGATTAATGCACAGGGGAAGTTCATTTTGCGGTGGTTGGGTACGAGGAGAGAGAAATTTACAGATGATGGGGATGAGAACGCAACACCAAACCACGTTTAATATTACCAGGTAAGGCTCTGGCTATCGTAAATCTTAGCTCAACCAAGTGGCTGGCAATGTGGACATTCACAGCAGCCAAAGACTCTAAACGCGTGGTGACGTTCACTCTAAATGCGGAGGACCCGGAGAAAAATCCACGCGACCACGGGGAGAGAGAGACAGACAGAGAGAGAGAGACACGAAAACGAATTCCTTTAGAACTGCTTCGTAGTTTGTCGTCCTTCCCCCCCCGCAAACCTCCGATCAGCGCGGTTGGCTACGTAACAATGCGAAAGAAGTCTCACGTGCTGTACGGAACATTCAAACTCCAAATATACAGCGGGCGTCATCAGGGTCCGGATCGAACCCCCACCCCGACCCCACCACGACCTCCTCGCGCACCAGGCTAGGAGGTGAAAATCTCGCGGTGCCAGCGGGGCAAAGTCGCCCGGCGCTCACTTATAGATTTTAAAGCTTTCGTGACTGCTGGGATCCATACTCTTTGGTGCTATTGGGTAAAGTCGGCGCTCACCACGTGTCCCAGCAGAGCCAGACGGTGGAGAAGTGACCCCAGCCGAGTTTTCGCACCACGTGGTAGCGGCTGTTGAAGAGGTCGCCCTTCCGCACGGGGTGGTAGCCGCCTGTGAGAGAGACAGAGACAGTGGAGAGACAGAGGGGAGACAGAGGGGAGACAGAGGGGAGACAGAGGGGAGACAGAGAGGCAGTGGAGAGACAGAGGGGAGACAGAGAGACAGTGGAGAGACAGAGGAGAGACAGAGGAGAGACAGAGAGACAGTGGAGAGACAGAGGAGAGACAGAGGAGAGACAGAGAGACAGTGGAGAGACAGTGGAGAGACAGAGGAGAGACAGAGAGACAGTGGAGAGACAGTGGAGAGACAGAGGAGAGACAGAAACAGAGATACAGAGGAGAGACAGTGGAGAGACAGAGACAGAGGAGAGACAGAGAGACAGAGAGACAGAGGAGAGACAGAGACAGAGAGACAAATCCAAAAACCTTTGTTGTGAATAATGTTGGTCGCGAGAGCCTACGTGTTAAACTGACTAACCTCTATGGGGAGGATAATTTTGCGTTGTGATCGAAACGTCGTGATTGTTTTTTGTTTTAATATAATTTTTTTGTATTTCTACATACGTGACTTTACCGAAAAAAACAATGAGTAATTTTATGCAGTCACGAAAGCTTTACTACTTTAGCATTGATACAATGGAACAGTATTGATACAATGCAACCGTATCGATACAATGGAACCTTATCGATACAATGGAACCGTATCGATACAATGGAACCTTATCGATACAATGGAACAGTATCGATACAATGGAACCTATCGAGACGATGGGACCGTATTGAGACGATGGGACCCTATCGCGAACAACTGCACCACCCGATGCCCGCTGCACTCCGGCGCACTGAGCGGCTTTAAGTCGCGCTAACTGCTGAAGCTATCGCACGGCTCACGGACTTGAAGTTGGACGCGTGATTATCACACACGCACGCACACGCACGCATACGCGCACACACACGCGCACACACACACGCACGCACGCGCGCACACACACACGCACACACGCGCACACGCGCACACACACACGCACGCACGCGCGCACACACACACGCACGCACGCGCGCACACGCACACACACACGCACGCACGCGCGCACACACACACGCACACACACACGCGCGCACACACGAGCGCACACACACGCACACGCAGACTTAAATAAAGACCAATATACTTGCATAGAGACCCACAGACCTACATAGAGACCCGTAGACTTACATAGAGTCCCGTAGACTGAAATAGACTTGGACAGAGAACAGCGTACTTACATAAGTACACAGGGATCCCATAGTTCACGGTTTCATGTAGACCCATAGATACGCTACGTACATAGACGAGCTATAGACTTACACTTGCATAAAGATCCACAGATGATCATGATGATGACGACTACAATGAAGGACGGTGATGACGGTAACGGCGACTCTCAGCGAGACACCAATCCTCCACGTATGCCGTACTACGACACATTTTCATAGCGACGACGATGATGATGACGACTATGACGACGAAAGATGATTGTGATGATGATGATTATTATTATGACAATTACTCGATTGGAATAGACGGTAGCTAACGAGCATCGCTTTTCCCCCCATCCTGCAAACGCAAAACTTGGCAGGACCCTCTTGAAAATGAGTCACGTGACTCGGTGCGAGGCTTCCCCGTGTAAACAAGCACAGTAACAACAACTAGCAACCACCATGTCCTTTGGACGTGACGTCCGGCCAGCCAGCAAAACTTTTTTTTCCTAATCTAATGTAGAATATGATTACAATCCGCACGTCCTTTGGATGCCACCGTCTGTCCGTCTCTCCTTCCCTTCCCCTCCGGATGTGATATCCAGCCAACAAGCCAGCCACGAATACGTTTATTTCCTCACATAGCATGATGGTACTTAACATGACAACAACCCGCACGTCCTGTGGACGCAACTCCCCTCCATCCCTCTCCCCGGGCGTTGCATCCAATGAGAACAACAAACCAGCCAGCCAGCCAGCAAAACTTATCTCTAACGATCTTCATCTTTCGTACGATTGCTGCTGCTGCTGGTGTAGGCGCAGAGCAGCGACTACAGCTTGACATTCAGGCGGTGAAGCCCAGCCAGACAGGAGACGCCGGGGCACTATTACCACCGCGGTGTCTCCTTCGTGTTCGTGGACCGGGCCATTGCGCGCCGTGACACGTGCGCTACGGTCCGTTCTAACAATTCACGACGACGACGACGACGATTTGGGCCCCTGCTCCCCACTGAGCCCTGCGGACGAGCAGCCACGAGCCCTCACCGGGACAGTAATCCTGCGGATCTTCTTGGCCGTCCCCAAAGTCCGAGTCGCCGTGGCCGTTCGAGGCCTTGGGCCGGTGGCGTGAGACCTCCTCCTCCTGCTCCTTGCCGCCGTGACGCCCCTCGGAGTCCTCCTCCTCCTCCTGCTCCTCCTCCTCCTTGCCGCCGCCGCCTTTGCGGCCGCGCTCCTCCTCTGTGGTGGGGCCTGGCGAGCCGTCGCCGGTCTCCAGCTCCGGCCTGAAAATGTTTTTTTTTAAACTCTTGAACATTCCACCCTGGTTTTTCATCTACCAGGCAAGGCCCCACTGAGCTGTATAGCGTTTTTTTTCGTCCAAAGCCACCTGTCAATGAATGATAGTTTAACTAAGTGGCTTATCTCTTGACTTAAAGCTTTCGCGACTGCAGGAATTCACATTCTATCTACGTGATAGGTTCTAAGAAACCTATCTACGTACCTTTACCGACAGACCCAAGGAATATAAGTGGCTTATCGTTATATTCTTAGCTCTTTCGGTAAAGTCACGTTGAAGGGAAACAATAAAATAATATTTTAAAAATATTATTTTATTGTTTCCCTTCAACGTGATATTTTAAAAATATTATTTTATTGTTTCCCTTCAACGTGACTTTACCGAAAGAGCTAAGAATATGAATTACTGCAGTCACGAAAGCTTTAAATCAAAATTTGGCTTATCGTTGTTCTCAACTAAAAACTAAACTATTTGAATTTTTCCCAATGAGCTACGTAGCTCTTTTGGTTTTCGGACGCGACCCGGCCACAATTGGATAAGCTCAATAAAACGGCTTATCATGGTTCTAAACTTAAACTAAACTATTTTGTATTTTACCAGCTGGCAAGGCATTGTGGTTACTGCCTTCTCCTCGACGCCCACGTGAAAGTGGAGTTGTTTCACGACAAACATCGTGAGTTTGCCCGTGATCCACCCACCATCCCTCGCCGCTGCCCGCACAGCGCTGGGTCAAGGGCATGCACCACCGTCGGAGTGGCAAATTGAGCTCATTCAAGCGCAGCACAAACTCTAATGAGGTGATGGACATTCTCCCAAGGTCCCTTAAATCACCCCTAATCCACACCGCGGGGGCCAGAGCCATCTTCTCACGTGCCCTGTCGTGGGAGGTATTCATCGCATGGCTATCAACCCCACACACACACCCCCCCCCACACACATACACACATACACACACGTATTAATTTCTCATAACCGTGGCATAAAGCCCCATAAGGTGAAGGTTAAAATGTGTTGCCGTTTAATCTCTGCGTCTATATGCACGCCTATGGACACCGAGGAAAACCCATTTCCATGGAGCTGCGTTTTGTGTTTAGTTCGTGGTCCTTTGAAATTTCTCAGGTGCGCCGCTTCCGCGGCCGTCTGGAACGCTCTTCCTGCCGGTATTAGGACGCCACTGGAGCGATGCACTTGTAAATGATCATCTAGATTGACAAGCTCATTTCTTTAGAACTGCTGTTTGTGTTTCGTGTGCTGCCCTTCCCCCGCACCTCGGATTAGCACGGTTGGCTACGTACGGTGCGAAAGAAGTTCAACGTACATATAAACTACTACACACTACACTCCTTTACACTACACTATTTAGCGCACTATACATCACGCTAGGGGCCGTCCATAAATGACGTCACGCACCTGGGGGAGGGGGAGGGGGGGTCAGATATTTGTGACGATGTGTGACTATTGTCATTGTAGTGCGTATTTAATGTGGCGCTGCACTCTGATGTTGTAGGAGAAAACATTTATTAAAAAAAAGTCTATTTAATGAAGTAGAACGCGTTATCTATATTTATTCAAAGTTGCGCATTTTGATGTGACGTCACATTTCTCCCCCCCCCCCATCCATCGTCACACATCATCACAAATGTCTCACCCCCCCCCCCCAGGTGCGTGACGTCATTTATGGACGGCCCCAGGGCCCAGAATCCTACACCTTGCCGTTTCAAGGTGTAGGATCCTCCTCCGCGCCAGCCAGCCACCTCTGATAGATTGTTTAGAATTACTTTTTGTGTTCAGTTTAATTGTCAGTCCCCCGCAACTCCGATGAGCGTGGTTGGCTACGTAAGGTGCGAAAGAAGTTCAAAATACATACACTCACCCACCCACTCACCCACCCACTCACTCACTGACCCACCCACTCACTCACTCACCCACTCATTCACTCACCCACCCACCCACTCACCCACCCACTCACTCACTGACCCACCCACTCACTCACCCACTCATTCACTCACTCACTCACCCACCCACTCACCCACCCACTCACTCACTGACCCACCCACTCACCCACCCACTCACTCACTCACTCACCCACTCACCCACCCACCCACCCACTCACTCACTCACTTACCCACCCACTCACTCACCCACCCACTCACCCACCCACTCACTCACTGACCCACCCACTCACTCACCCACCCACTCACTCACTCACCCACCCACTCACCCACCCACCCACTCACTCACTGACCCACCCACTCACTCACCCACTCACTCACTCACCCACCCACCCACTCACCCACCCACTCACTGACCCACCCACTCACTCACCCACCCACTCACTCACTCACCCACTCACTCACCCACCCACTCACTCACTGACCCACCCACTCACTCACCCACTCACTCACTCACCCACACACTCACCCACCCACTCACCCACCCACTCTCCCACCCACTCACTCACTGACCCACCCACTCACTCACCCACTCACTCACTCACCCACCCACTCACCCACCCACCCACTCACTCACTGACCCACCCACTCACTCACCCACTCACTCACTCACCCACCCACTCACTCACCCACTCACTCACTGACCCACCCACTCACTCACCCACTCACTCACCCACACACCCACCCACCCACTCACCCACCCACTCACCCACCCACTCACTCACTGACGCACCCACTCACTCACCCACTCGCGGTTGGCTACGTACAGTCTGAAAGAATTTCAACATACACACACTCACCCACCCACTCATTGACCCACTCATCCACCCACCCACTCACCCGCCCACCCACTCACCCACTCACTCACCCACTCACTCACCCACTCACTCACTCACTCACCCACTCACTCACCCACACACTCACCCACTCATCCACTCACGATTGGTTACATACGGTGCGACAGTAGATCAACATACACACATACACCCAACCACGAAGGGGGTGTGGGGGTGTGGGGGGAGCAGCTCGCTTCACGACCTGGCTTGCCCAGCTTGCTACTCCCACTGCCCCCCGCCGTTATCCACAAATAGCCGTGGATGGGGTGGGCTGTGTGTGGGTGTGTGTGTGTGTGTGGGGGGGTGTGTGTGGGGTGTGTGTGTGGGCTGTGTGTGTGTGTATGTGTGTGTATGTGTGTGTGTGGGAGTGTGTGTGTGTGTGTGGGGGGGTGTGTGTGTGGGGGTGTGTGTGTGTGGGGGGGTGTGTGTGGGGGTGTGTGTGGGGGTGTGTGTGTGTGTGTGGGTGTGTGTGTGTGTGGGGGTGTGTGTGTGTGGGGGGTGTGTATGGGTGTGTGTATGTGTGGGTGTGTGCGTGTGTGGGTGTGTGTGGGGGGGTGTGTGTGTGGGGGGGTGGGTGTGTGTGTGTGGGGGGTGTGTGTGTGGGTGTGTGCGTATGTGTGTGTGTGGGTGTGTGGGGGTGTGTGTGTGGGGGTGTGTGTGTGTGTGACGATGATCATCATGGTGACGATGATGACGGTGACGATGATGATAGTGACGATAACGATGGCGACGATGCTGATAGTGACGATGACGACGATGATGACGATGATGATGACTTCAACTCGTAACGCGCGCACGCGGTTATCCGCTCTGGGCTCGTTGCGTGGAGATGAAGAGATGCCGAGCAACAGCAGCAGCAGCGGCTGCCGATGAGCCGACGCTAACCAACGATTGCCCCGAACTCCGCCGGTCCCATACATGTGAAGGTGTCGACGGCTCAATTAATGGGGCGTTCAACTTGGGAGAGGAGACCGGAGCGTGCGAGGGGGAAACACTCGATCCCGTTTTCACATTCTCACGCAGTATAATTTCCCGTCAATCTAGGACCACCCCATATCTTCGCCTACATAAACATCTGGCAGTCCACCAGCATTTGGCTGGAGCAGGACTGCTGATGAGACACTGGGTGTCGAAACCAGTCCTTGCCTTTCTAAACATCTGGCAGTCCACCAGCGTTGATTCAATGAAGCCCGACCCTGCTGTTGACGAGAGCACAGCGTTGTTGTTGTTGTTGTTGTCTTTGTCGTTGTTGTCTTTGTCCTCAGTCTATTCCGCTGAATCGACTCGCTCGCCGCGATGGGGTTTTGCTTGGGAACACTTTGCTGCATTTTGTATTTGTGTGGTGGTACAGGAGGAGACATTGCCCACTTCATTCAAGTTCACCTGCACCACCCCCTCCACCCCCCGTGTTGTTTCAGCTTAACTCTGCCGTGTGGTGGTGGTGGGGGGGAGGTGAAGGGGGGGACAGGGTGGGGGGGCTGAATTAAGGGGGTGAAGTGGGGGGGGAGGTGGTGAAGTCGAGGTGGGGGGAACAGCGTGGGGGGGGGGGTCAGAAGTGGAGCTGGGGGGGGCACAGTGGGGGGAGGTGATGTGAGGTGGGGACAGAGTGGGGTGGGGGGTGATGCGGGGGGGGGGGGGTACAGGATGAGGGAGGATAAAGTAGCGGGGGGTGAAGGGGGGGGTGGCAGGTTGGTCTGATTCCCGTACGATGGAGCCTCTTCCCACAAGCTGTTTGTCCCACCAGTCCCCTCCCCCCGTGCCACTCCGGGTTTCCCCTCCTCGGCGCCACCATTGTTCCCGTCTCGACATAAAAGCAGCGTCACAGTCACGTGGTGCCGGCACCAGCGAATGGCGACGCTCCCACGTGTCAGGCACGTCGAGGGAACGAGGTCACCGCTCTCTCTCTCGCTCGCTCTTTTTGTCTCTCTCTCTCTTTTCCAGTCCACGTCTTAACTTTATTATTTTTAATTGTCCCCCCCCCCCACCCACCCCTCCCAAGCACAGTACGTCCAATATACTGTACATCAAACATTGCTCGCTACGGAACCGTTATCCGCTTCTTGTGCTCATGAAAATGTGAATGGTCAAGTCCAAAATTCAACAACACGGCTTACGTTGTATTTTGTGAGACTGGCCAAATCAAATCACGAATGCCACTTTCACCACAACTGACATCAACCTCAGGTGTTCGATCTTCAATAGCCTTATGAAGTCACTTAACACGTAAACCACACGCGCGTAATATGCAAACCGCATCGGTGCCACATTTACACAATATTGTGTGATCTTGCTCACAAACTTCCCGGTTCAGGCAATGCCAATTTGACGCTGGAAACATTTAATAAGGGGCCGTCCCTTAAATATGACGTCACAGAGCTCTGCCCCCCCCCCCAAAAAAAAAACCCACATTTGCATTTTGAAAATAAAACGTGCTTTAAACCGCTTTAAACTATTGTACTGCGTATTTAAAGTGGCACTGCACTCTGACGCAGGAGTGTTGTTATAACAATTAGCGTTGTTATAGCCATTATATATTTATTTAAATTTGCGCATTTTGATGTGACGTCACATTTCTCAACCCCCCTTCCCCCCCTCGTCACACATCGTCACACAAATCTGACCCCACCCCCCCTAGGTGCGTGACGTCATTTATGGACGGCCCCTAACGAGGGATTACAAAAAGTGGTCACCGAATTTGATGCCACAGTCGTGTAAGGTCGCATCGTAATTAATAACAATGCTGTAGTAATAATAATAATGCAAACTAGTTCGTTGGTGCTGGGTAGGGAGGCTGGTGACCAGTGCCGGATGAAACTAAGTGCGGGGCCTGTGGCATATGTTATGAAGGGGCCCTCAATAACAAAAAAATACACGTAAATATTAAAACACGTAAATGTTTAACTTGAAAAGTAAAGTAATTGCATTTTTTTAAAATTTGCTATACAGCCGGACAACACGACAAATCGCTAACCTTAAACACCCAGTCGTTCGTAAACGTTAAAGGCGGTATAGTACTATAGTGATAGAGCAAATGCAGAATCACTGAACCGGAATTGATAGCTTGAAAGCGTTTAGCGCGGGGCCTTTGGAAGTGCGGGGCCCGTAGCTACTACACATGTAGTAGCCACTTGTGTAGTAGCTACTACACATGTAAGTAGTAGTAGCTACTACACGTGTAGTAGCTACTACACGTGTAGTAGCTACTACACATGTAAGTAGTAGTAGCTACTACACGTGTAGTAGCTACTACACGTGTAGTAGCTACTACACATGTAAGTAGTAGTAGCTACTACACATGTAGTAGCCACTTGTGTAGCTACATGTGTAGTAGCTACTAAATGTGCAGTAGCTACTACACGTGTAGGTGTGTGTGAGTGGGTGTGTGTGTGTGAGTGCTACACGTGTAGTAGCTACAACACGTGTAGCTACTACACGTGTAGTAGCTACACGTGTTGTAGCTACTACACGTGTAGCACTCACACACACACACACCCACTCACACACACCCACACACTCTCACACTCACACTCACTCACTCACACACTCACTCACACACACACACTGACCCACACACACACCCACATACTCACCCACACACTCACACACTCACCCACACACTCACACACTCACACACACTCACTCACACACCCACCCACTCACTCACCCACACACTCACACACTCACCCACACTCTCACACACACACACACCCACACACACTCACCTACACACCCACCCACTCACACACCCACCCACTCACTCACCCACCCACTCACTCACCCACCCACTCACTCACCCACACACTCACCCACACACACTCACACACTCACCCACACACCCACAAACCCACCCACTCACCCACCCACTCACCCACTCACCCACCCACTCACCCACTCACACACTCACTCACTCACCCACTCACTCACCCACTCACACACTCACCCATCTACCCACCCACTCAATCACCCACTCACTCACCCACTCACACACACTCACACACTCACTCACCCACACACTCACCCACTCACACACCCACTCACTCGCCCACACACCCACCCACTCACTCACCCACATACTCATCCACACACTCACCCACGCACTCACACACCCACCCACTCACTCACCCATACACCCTCCCACTCACACACTCACCCACCCACACACTCACCCACTCACACACTCACACACACCCACACACTCACTCGCACAATCACCCACCCACACACACAAGCAAAAAGATCCCCCGTGTAGCCTTAACAGACTGTAGGGGCAAGTGCTATTAGCGAGCATCTATGAAGGCCGGCACGGCACACGAGGGGGTGGGTGGCCAACACCACGCCCGGCCGCCTTTGTCTCCCAGTGGCGATGTTTACACACTGAACCAGGTACTCATTTGAGGCTGAGTCGACCTAGGGGAGGCCCAGGACCGGTTCAGATAACCGTCACTGGGTGTTGGCCGTGAGCGGGAAACGAACCCGGGTCACCAAGTTCGTAGCGCAGCGCGCTAACCGCTACACTACCGCTCCATCACTACACAAAAGACAAAGATCCCCCATTTAGCCTTTACAGACTGTAGGGGCAAGTGCTGTTGGCAAGCACCTATGAAGGCCGAAACGGTACACGAGGGGGTGGGTGGCCAGCACCACGCCCGACCGCCTTTGTCTCCCTAGTGGCGATGTTTACACATCGCACCAGGTACTCATTTGAGGCTGAGTCGACCTAGGGGGAATCGAACCCGTGTCGCTGGGTTAATAGCGCAGCGCGCTAACCGCTACACTATCGCTCCCCTATACAAAAACCCACCCACTCACCCACACACTCAATCACTCACCACACTCACCCACCCACCCACTCACCCACACACTCACCCACACACTCACTCACTCACCCATTCCCTCACTCACTCACCCACACACTCACTCGCACTCACCCACACACACACCCACTCACCCACACACCACACTCACTGGCACACTCACCCACTCACTCACTCACCTACACACCCACTCACACACTCACCCACACTCACCCACACACTCACTCCCACACTCACACACCCACCCACTCAACCACACACTCACCCACACACACACCCACACACTCAGCCACTCACCCACACATTCACCCACACACTCACCCACACACTCACCCACACATTCACTGCGGGTCACAGACTCTTTGACGCATCCACTCAACCACTCATTCACCCAACAACGCATACACTCACACACTCAAACACTAACGCATCCACTCACCCACTCACTCAACCACTCACCCAGTAACGCATCCACTCACCCACTCACCCACCCACTCACTCACCCAATAACGCATCCACTCACCCACTCACTCACCCAATAACGCATCTACTCACCCACTCACTCATCCACTCACTCACCCAATAACGCATACACTCACCCACTCAAACACTAACGCATCCACTCACACCACTCACCCAGTAACACATCCACCTGCCAACTCACTCAAACACTAACGCATCCAATCACCCACTCACTCACTTACCCAATAACGCATCCACTCACCCACTCACCTAATAACGTATCTACTCACCCACTCACTCACTCAATAACGCACTCACCCACTCACTCACCCAATAACGGATCCACTCACCCACTCACTCACCCAATAACGCATCCACTCACTCACCCACTCAATGAAACACTAACGCATCCACTCACTCACCCACCCACGCACTCACTCACTCACCCACCCACTCACCCACCCACCCTACCACTTACTCACCCACTCACCCACCCAAGCACTCACTCACCCACCCACGCACTCACTCACCCACCCACTCACCCACCCACGCACTCACTCATCCACTCACCCACCCACTCACGCACTCACTCACCCACCCACCGACGCACTCACTCACTCATTCATCCACCCACCCACGCACTCATTCATCCACCCACCCACGCACTCACTCACCCACTCACCCACCCACTCACCCACGCACTCACTCACTCACCCACGCACTCACCCACTCACCCAGGCACCCACTCACCCACTCACTCACTCACCCACCCACTCACTCACCCACTCACCCACTCACTCACTCACCCACTCACTCACTCACCCACGCACTCACTCACTCACCCACTCACTCACCCACTCACCCACCCACTCACCCACGCACTGACTCACTCACCCACTCACTCACCCACTCACGCACTCACTCACCCACTCACTCACTCACTCACCCACTCACCCATGCACTCACCCACTCACTCACCCACCCACCCACTCACCCACTCACTCACTCACCCACTCACCCACCCACTCACTCACCCACTCACCCACTCACCCACTCACTCACTCACCCACTCACCCATGCACTCACCCACTCACTCACCCACCCACCCACTCACCCACTCACCCACCCACTCACTCACCCACCCACCCACGCACTCACCCACTCACCCACCCACTCACTCACCCACTCACCCACTCACTCACCCACTCACCCACTCACTCACTCACCCACTCACCCACTCACTCACTCACCCACCCACTCACCCACTCACCCACCCACTCACCCACTCACCCACTCACTCACCCACCCACTCACCCACTCACTCACCCACTCACTCACTCACTCACCCACCCACTCACCCACTAACTCACTCACCCACCCACCCACCCACTCACTCACTCACCCACTCACTCACCCACCCACTCACCCACTCACCCACTCACCCACTCACCCACTCACCCACCCACTCACCCACTCACCCACCCACTCACCCACTCACCCACCCACCCACGCACTCACCAGGCCGACAGCCGGTACCAGGACGAGAAGTGGCCGTTCAGCTCCATGGGTCTCGCTGGGTCTCGCTGGGTCTCGCTTGCTGCGGGTGGGGCGGGGGGAGGTTGAGGCGCAACGAGCGAGGTTTTGGGAGGGGGGCCCGAGGAAATTAGTTGTGGGGGGCACCGTGCCGGCGACCAATGAACCCAGGTTCTAACTTACCCTGGGAGGGGTGTGGGGAGAGAGGCGGGGGGGGGGCTAGCCGATAGAGAGTACGGAACACACTCGGTGGTAGGGGGGGGCTCGTGACTCGCGCTGTGGACTTGGGGGCGCGCTGCGGTGCCCGCTCCGCACCCTCCCCCAGGGGACACTCACGCAGCTAAAAATACCTGCCGGGGGAGGGGGGCGGGGGAGAGACAGAGGTGGGGGGGGGGGGGCGGTGGCGAGCTTTGGGGAGAGGCAAGGGGAGAGAGAGAGAGAGAGCGGGAGAGAGAGGGGGTAGAGAGAGAGGGGGTAGAGAGAGAGAGGGTAGAGAGAGAGGGGGTAGAGAGAGAGAGGGGGTAGAGAGAGAGGGGGTAGAGAGAGAGAGAGGGTAGAGAGAGAGGGGGTAGAGAGAGAGAGAGGGGGTAGAGAGAGAGAGAGAGGGTAGAGTGAGAGGGGGTAGAGAGAGGGGGGGTAGAGAGAGAGGGGGTAGAGAGAGGGGGTAGAGAGAGAGAGAGGGGGTAGAGTGAGAGAGGGGGTAGAGAGAGGGGGTAGAGAGAGAGGGGGTAGAGAGAGAGGGGGTAGAGAGAGAGAGAGAGGGGGTAGAGAGAGAGAGGGGAAAGAGAGAGAGAGGGGATAGAGAGAGAGGGGGTAGAGAGAGAGGGGGTAAGAGAGAGGGGGTAGAGAGAGGGGGTAGAGAGAGAGGGGGTAGAGAGAGCGGGTAGAGAGAGAGGGGGTAGAGAGAGGGGATAGAGAGAGAGGGGGTAGAGAGAGAGAGAGGGCGTAGAGAGAGAGGGGGTAGAGAGAGAGGGGGAAGAGTGAGGGGGTAGAGACAGAGGGGGTAGAGAGAGGGGGTAGAGCGAGGGGGTAGAGAGAGAGGGGGTAGAGAGAGAGGGGATAGAGAGAGAGGGGGTAGAGAGAGAGGGGGTAGAGAGAGGGGGTAGAGAGAGGGGATGCGGAGAGGGTGGTAGAGAGAGAGAGGGTAGAGAGAGAGGGGGGTAGAGAGAGAGGGGGTAGAGAGAGAGGGGTAGAGAGAGAGGGGATAGAGAGAGAGAGAGGGGATAGAGAGAGAGAGAGAGGGGGTAGAGAGAGAGAGGGGGTAGAGAGAGGGGGTAGAGAGAGAGGGGGTAGAGAGAGAGGGGGCAGAGAGAGAGGGGTTAGAGAGAGAGAGGGTAGAGAGAGAGGGGTAGAGAGAGGGGGTAGAGAGAGAGGGGATAGAGAGAGAGAGGGGATAGAGAGAGAGAGAGAGGGGGTAGAGAGAGAGAGGGGGTAGAGAGAGGGGGTAGAGAGAGGGGGTAGAGAGAGAGGGGGTAGAGAGAGGGGGTATCAGAGAGAGGGGGGTAGAGAGAGAGGGGGTAGAGAGAGAGGGGTTAGAGAGAGAGAGAGAGGGGGTAGAGAGAGAGAGAGGGGGTAGAGAGGGGGTAGAGAGAGAGGGGGTAGAGAGAGGGGGGTAGAGAGAGGGGGTAGAGAGAGGGGGGTAGAGAGAGAGGGGGGTAGGGGTAAGGAGAGCAGAGCGAGAAATCTTTTGTTAAATCTTTCATTTAAAAAGGGGGGGGGGGGGTTACATGAAGCAAAGCATAAAAAAATGATGAACGAAGCAAAGTGCCGACTACACCGAGCAGCTTCTTGTTTCCTCTGATGGTAAAAAATAAGAGAGGGCGAGAGAGAGAGAGAAAGTGAGGAAGAGACATGGGGGGTGGGGGGGCGATGGAGTGGCTTCTCACAGTCGGGACTCGCACAACAGCAGCACCGCCACCTGTCCCGTGCCCTCCAACCCCAGGATTTCGCTAATCCGCTAACATTGTTCCGCCTGGGATCCAAATCGCCAAAGGCAGCTCTCTCGTGACATCTCGGAAGCTAAGTACGGCTCAGCCTGGACGCCGCGGTGGCTAGGAGATGTTAACTACCTCGCCTGGTATGCAGGAGGTCGTGGGTTCGATCCCTGGCCCTTTACGCCTGCTGCTGCTGTATATTTGGAGTTTGCGTGTCTCTCTCTCTCATCATCATCATCTCTCTCTCATCATCATCATCATCACGGTGGCTAGGAGATGTTAACTACCTCGCCTGGTATACAGGAGGTCGTGGGTTCGATCCCGAGCCCTTACGCCTGCTGCTGCTGCTGTATATTTGGAGTTTGCGGTGTCTCTTTCTCTCTCCCCGTGGTGGCCGCGTGGATTTTTCTCTGGGTCCTCCGGTGTTTTCCCTCCACATTTCGACTCAACATCACGCAGTTTAGAATATTTGTTTGCTATAATACATTTCCCCGTGACAAGGCACTTGGCTGAGCTATTACTTGTGGCCAGGTCGCTTCTGCAAAAGAGCTATTTAAGCTTAGCCGGGGCCTTACCTGGTAACGTAACAAAAACATCTTCGGTAGCGTTAAGCTGTGTTTGTTGTGGTGCGTGACCGATTGCTATCGGCTCCTGTGGAGCTATGTTGTGAGCAGTGCAGCGAACCCCCGATGTTGTACCGTTGTCTCTATGCTGCCGTTGTTTAATGGCAAGGTCGCCCGGTTCTATCTCCAGGCGCGGCAGTGTCCACCGATCTGTATAAATGACTTACTGCACAACCACACATTTAAGTCGACGGGCAGGCCGCGCGTGCTGGTTGCGGTAAAGCGTGGGCAGTACCAAGACTTCTTCCCAACGCGTCTGACCGGCGTGGAGCAGTCGACCCACGAACAACATCGAGCGCACGCCCATTTCGCCGGGAGTCACGTGTGCGAGTAATTGCAGGGCTGCACCTTTAGCTTTCAGTTTCCATACCGTGGGGGGAGCACACACACACATCATCATCATCATACTCCGGTTCCTTTGCCCGTATTTTAATGCGACGAAGGACAGAACGATTAAATTTCGATTTAAAGCTTTCGTGACTGCAAGGATTCATCTTCTTTGGTTCTTTCGGTAAAGTCACGTAGAATGATAATAAAATAATAATAATAAAATAATACATTGATAATGTATTATTTTATTCTCATTCTACGTGACTTTACCGAAAGAACCAAAGAAGACAGAACGATTGTTACTGCGTGTTCCGCTAGGTAAGCGGTCCAAACTCTAGCGGGGACATTTAATCTTAAATCCTTTCTCTTCGATGTAACGTTACGTTCCGATTTGGCCGTTTAATTTTTTCTTGACTTTCTCAGAGACTCTGCGTCCTCTGCTTCTTCTTGGCTGTTTCATTTTTTTTATTTTTCCCTTTCTCAGAGACTCTGCGTCTTCTGCGTCTCCTTGGCTATTTCATTTTTTTGACCTTCTCAGAGACTGTGCGTCTTCTGCTTCTTCTTGGCTGTTTATTTTTTTACTTTCTCAGAGACTCTGCATCCTCTGCGTCTTCTTGGCTGTTTCATTTATTATTTTTTTACTTTCTCAGAGACTGTGGGATCTTGCGCTTCTTCTTCTTGCGTACGGCTTTGACTGGACGAATAGCAGCCACTCACTTACAAGCAGCCTGAATGTATGCCCCGTATTGGTTTAGACAAGCAGGAAGGGATTGCGGATGGATGTGCTTCAATACCTCCGATTAAATCCTCACGTAGTTATATCACGGACGTACTCATCGGCTCACGTAGAGTTCACAGTGGCAAAGCTACCGTGTAGTCTTACATCGTCAGTCATAGACTCACATGGATACCTAGACTCATGTAGATTTCGCAGTGGCTCACTGATATGCAGCCTCAGACAGAGACTCACTCACATTGAGACCCAGAGACACATATACTCTCACAGAGCCCATAGACTGACACAGAGATCCACATACAGAGCCCATAGACTCACACATAGACCCACATACTCTCAGAGCCCATAGACTAACACAGAGACCCACATACTCTCACAGAGCCCATAGACTAACAGAGATCCACATACTCTCAGAGCCCATAGACTCACACAGAGACCCCACATACTCTCACAGAGCCCATAGACTCACATAGAGACCCACATACTCTCACAGAGCCCATAGACTAACACAGAGACCCCACATACTCTCAGAGCCCATAGACTCACACAGAGACCCAACATACTCTCACAGAGCCCATAGACTCACACAGAGACCCCACATACTCTCACAGAGCCCATAGACTAACACAGATACCCCACATACTCTCAGAGCCCATAGACTCACACATAGACCCCACATACTCTCACAGAGCCCATAGACTCACACAGAGACCCACATACTCTCAAGAGCCCATAGACTCACACAGACCCACATACTCTCAGAGAGCCCATAGACTAACACAGAGACCCCACATACTCTCACAGAGCCCAAAGACTCACGCAGAGACCCACAAACTCGCATAGAGTTCATAGACTCACACATAGACCCACATACTCACAGAGCCCATAGGCTAACACAGAGACCCACATACTCTCACAGAGCCCAGACTCACACAGAGACCCACATACTCTCACAGAGCCCACAGACTCACACAGAGACCCACATACTCACAGAGCCCATAGACTAACACAGAGACCCACATACTCTCACAGAGCCCAGACTCACACAGAGACCCACATACTCTCACAGAGCCCATAGACTCACACAGAGACCCACATACTCTCAAGAGCCCATAGACTCACACAGACCCACATACTCTCAGAGAGCCCATAGACTAACACAGAGACCCCACATACTCTCACAGAGCCCAAAGACTCACGCAGAGACCCACAAACTCGCATAGAGTTCATAGACTCACACATAGACCCACATACTCACAGAGCCCATAGACTAACACAGAGACCCACATACTCTCACAGAGCCCAGACTCACACAGAGACCCACATACTCTCACAGAGCCCACAGACTCACACAGAGACCCACATACTCTCACAGAGCCCAGACTCACACAGAGACCCACATACTCTCACAGAGCCCACAGACTCACACAGAGACCCACATACTCTCACAGAGCCCATAGACTGCCACAGAGACCCCACATACTCTCACAGAGCACATAGACTAACACACAGACCCACATACTCTCACAGAGCCCATAGACTCACACAGAGACCCACATACTCTCACAGAGCCCATAGGCTAACACAGAGACCCACATACTCTCAGAGCCCATAGACTAACACAGAGACCCACATACTCTCACAGAGCCCATAGACTCACACAGACTCACGCAGAGACCCACAAACTCGCATAGAGTTCATACTCACACATAGACCCACAAAGAGTTGCACGAAAGATAAAAAAAACACCTGTTATTGTAATTTTTTTTATTACTATCATTTCCCTGCTGGATGAGGGCGCAGAGGATAATACGACCGTATGTCACGACCACACCGTTAGGCCTGACCGATTAATCGATTTGAAGGCTGCGATTTTTATTCGATTTGAAAAGTCCTATTACTTTATTATTGAATTGTTTTACTTTTTATTATTACTTTATTTATTCAGCTTATTCTATTTCAATTAAAACATTTGAATAAATACATGTTGGAAGCAATTCATATCTTAAAAGTTCTCACCCTTGCATTAGAATACATAGAGCAGTTCATATTTTGATGGAATCACGTGGTAATGCTCCATCACGTGTTTAAAATCTATTACACAGTGAATATTGAACTGAAGCTTGACTTTTAAAGACGTAATCGCAAATCAAATCGCAATCTGTCAGAAAAATCGCAATTAGATATTTACCCCAAAATCGTTCAGCCCTACACACTGGTTCAGTGCGGGTTGGTAAAGGCGGGAAGCGTGGATCTGGGAGCATAGCCCTGTCCCCTCCGCTTCTCCCTACGTAGACCCGCCAGGATATGATGCGCGGCGGGTCATCCCGGCCAAGCCCTATCAAAGCTCAATCCTGCCCAGCTTCCAAGATCCGATGAGGTCGGACGGACTCCGTTTGGTATGGGGCAGGGGTTGGCCAACCCGCGGGCTCTGGGGCGTGCACGCGATGGCTCTTCGAGGGACTGCGGTGGCGCCTTTAGAAATTCGTAAAAATAAAAAATAAAAACGCCTCTTCTCGAAAGTCCAGTTTACAGCGGGAGCCCAGTTCACCATTCAACTTGGGCGGGGGTCGGCAGAGCCTGCTGCTCCGAAACACGCACGAGGGTCAACAAGTGCTGCTTCGTGATGTCATTCATTAAGGACCGTCTCGTATTAACCAAGTGCATGGCGGCCCTTGAAATATTCTCGCCGTTTACCGAACTCGAAAGAACAAAAAAGTCTCCCCTTGTTGTTTTACGTTGCCTGCCCCCCCCCCGGTGTGGAGCAAACGCCGCAGGTGGCAGGAGGCACTGCGGCAAAACAAAACAAAAAATCGACTCTACAGTCGTCAACTTCCACGCTTACCACGGCCGCGTTCCCACCGCCTCTACCGCCTCACACTGAACGGCGCGACAAAGTACGCTCACGTAGGCCCCTCCCGCCCACCACCACCGCACAACTCATCCACCAGCGGAATGGCAAAAAAATGGCTGCGACCAAGCACCGTCACGCGCATCGTACAAAACCGAGGTTCTCTCACAATGAACGGGTGCGATACAATTCATCGTTTAAAAAAAATAAATGTTTGCGGGTGTTATAAAAGAAAACGTGCAGGAAAATAGTCGGCTAGATTGCCCGGCAACGTGACAAAACAACCAGCGACAGACGTTGTAAAATAGTACAAAGGTAAAATACCCTGGGCGTCAACCTCACCGCGCACAATGCAATGCAGGGTTCTTTCAGCTACGTACGTACGCGCGCTTAAAGTCTTTCGCGCCGTACGTAGCCAACCGCGCTAATCGGAGGTGCGGGGGAAGGACAGCGGACTAATCGCAAAAAGCGGTTCTGAAGGAACGACTTTTCAAACTACATTTAAAAGTGCATAGCTCCAGCGGCTTCCGAACATCGCAAGGGCGTTCCAGACGGCCGCAGGAGGGCACCTGCAAGCGTGCGATGCGGTGACCGCCGTCGTTGTTCGATGGTCAGCCAAACGCCGCCGCTCCGAGGGTGACCAGAGTCCGCGTGATGATGGTTTACGATCCTTGACGTGATCGGCGGCGAGGCGATCGGTGGTTCCATCTGTGGCCAAGCACCGCGCGCGCGCCACCGAATGCATCCGTTCGGCGAAAACGGGAAGCCCGAAAAATGCACGTGTCCAGGGGCCACGTGATATCGATGTCACGTGTCCAGGGGCCACGCGATATCGATGTCACGTGTCCAGGGGCCACGTGATATCGATGTCACGTGTAGCTAATCGAGCGTGCAGGCGGCCCCAACTGCCCTTGGCCGCGAGGGCCGGAGAGGGAGGCTCAGGTGCCGGGCTAGAAGGCGACGGGGTGGGGGGTGAATTATACAAGGTCACTGTAATTCTCGTGAAGATGATCCGCGATGGACGAAGCTGCTGGTAAATGTGCAAAAGTGCGGCCGAGTTAAGCAAAGAGTCGCGTGAAGACCCGCAACCGGAGCAGCGTACAAGAGCTAACGGCAACGATCCGTATTTTTGTTTAGGTTCAGCCGCACGGTGGTGGTTTTTATACCAAAATTCTCGGTCAATAAACCCCCCCCCCCCCACCACCGCTCCCACCGACGGCCCCCGGCGAGATTGTCACCGTTGTCAAAGGCGTGAAACCCAAAAATTCGTTTACTTGTTAACTCTCGGCAAATACGCAAGTGAATTTTCACACTCACACTCTGCTACGTAAGACACCTGCCGGCTTCCGTGCCGCTCACCCAAATGCTTCCCAAGACGAACGAACGTCGGGAAGCGTCGAGCATGAATCCCCACGAGCGAGCTCGCGTGGCGTCTCTTCAGCTTGGTTAGTCTTTTACCCCCCTCCCTCCCCCCCCTCCCCCCCCCAAGTAGTTCTCTGGACCGTGTTGCCGGCATCGCGCAGCGAGACCAAGACAATCCGCTCGGGTTCTCTCGCCGGCGCGGTCCAACCCTTCGCGTCGGGGACAGCGGCAGCTTCTTTCCCGATCTCCACTTCCGCGTAGGCGCCTGCCAGGTTAAATTTTGATTTAAAGCTTTCGTGACTGCAGGGATTCATATTCTCGGTTCTCTTCGGTGAAGTCACCACCACGTAGAAGGGAAACGGTAAAATAATTAAAAAAAATATATAAAACAATAAAATTCTCGCGACGTTTCGACTGCAACACGAGCAATCATCATCAGGTGTGAAAACCACAGCAAGAAAATTTGAAAAAAATAACCGCCGCTTTTTTCAAATTTTCTTGCCGCGATTTTTCACACCTGACGATGATGATTGCTTCTTGTGTTGCAGTCGAAACGTCGTGAGACTTTTATTGTTTCATATATTTTCATTATTTTATTGTTTCCCTTCTACGTGGTGACTTTACTGAAAGAACCAAGAATACGCCTGCCAAGTTATAAGACGCAACCCCAACCACTCTCCGTCCCCCCCCCCCACCCAAACTTTGGTGTAAAAAAACAAAACAGGTGGGGACCCCCCCCCCCCCCCCCCCACACACACACCTCCCTTCTCTCTCCACTGCTCACAGCAGCAGCAGCAGCAGCAGCAGGGGTAGACGAAAATGTTCCCCCACCTCCACTACCATCCCCGCCGCAAGACAGCAACGCCCGTCGCGCGACAGCCAATTTCACGTCCGCGCGGCGGCGGCGGCGCCCAGCTGGTCCGCCCTCGAGTCGTGCACGGGCAGCAGGAGGAGGAGGAGGCCCTCGTCGGCGAGGCACTGCGCCAGGTCGTCGAACATGAGGTAGCTCTCCAGGACGGCGGGCAGGCACAGGCGTCGCACGGCCTCCCTCCTCGGCCGCGCCAGCTGGCGCGCGATGCGGACCCGTGCCAGGTGCTTGAGAGAGCGCGGGGTGCCCGCGCAGCCCTCCAGCCACGACACCACCGACGCCCGCGTCGCCAGCTGCTTCGGTACCTCGCCGGTCTTCTGCCCGGCGAGAATTTCCGCCCCGTAGCAGAAATGTTGAATCTGCAGTTTGGTTATCTTGCCATCTCATACAAACTCAAAGTCGCGCCCTCATGCCGAGGCGCGTTACGACAATGATGGAAGTTGTACACGGGACGCCAGCGGTCGAGACGATAAAGAGTAGCGGGGGTCGTTGTTAAAAGCGGTGGTGTAGTTATGGTGGTGTAGTTATGGTGGTGTAGTTATGGTGGTGTAGTTATGGTGGTGTAGTTATGGTGGCAGTTGGGACAGGCGGGAGTGGTTAAGGAGGGATTGGGGTAGTGGTAGTGGAAGAGGTAGTGATAGGGTTAGTGATAGGGGTCGGGGTAGTGATAGGAGAAGAGGTAGTGATATGGGTTGTGATATGTGATATGGGTATTGCTAGGCCTGGTTGTAGCTGGGGAGTGGGGTTAGTGAGTAGCAGTAGCAGGATGATGGACAAGGGAGAGAGATGGCGGTTGTTTTAAGGGAGGAGCGGAAGCAGCTTAGAGTGAAGATGATTGCTCTGTGTGCTGCAGGGGGAGTTGGTTGAGTTAAGGGGAGCGAGATGGGAGAAGGAACGGGAGAGCGAGACTGGGCGTAGGCTGAGGGAGCCACAGAGGAGGACAGTGGAGATTGGGAGCGTTGTAAGTTAAATCAGTAAATGGGTTAAAAAAATAGGTGAAACACTTAGAATATAACACAATATTACATCGGGTAAAATGATTAGCCTTAGCGTGTTATTCTGTCATCTCGATACCGTCCACTATTAGCAGCCAAGTCCGTCAATGGACCTGCTCCCCTAACCACCCGACCACCACCTCAGTGCCGACCTCGCAAGGACACCGATGACACAATTTGTTTTATATTTTTGCGTTTTTCTCCGTTTGTGCCCCTTTTTCTTTCTTTAACCAACTGTAATCCCGATTGTGCTATCAGCATCGTGTCACCAGATGAAGATTCAATTTGAATCTCTAGCAGGGCAGTGCACCCGTTCATTTTGGTGGAATTAGATAGCTATGCTGCTCACGAAGGGTGCCTTAGCCTGGCTGAGAGAGCTATGCTGCTCACAAAGAGTGCCTTAGCCTGGCTGAGAGAGATACGATGCTCTTGAAGAGTGCGTTTGCCTGGCTGAGAGAGCTACACTGCTCACGAAGAGTGCCTTAGCCTGGCTTAGAGAGCTATGCTGCTCAAGAAGGGTGCCTTAGCCTGGCTGAGAGAGCTATGCTGCTCAAGATGAGTACTTAAGCCTGACTGATAGAGCTATGCTGCTCTTGAAGAGTACCTTAGCCTGGCTTAGAGCGCTAGGCTGCTCACAAAGAGTGCCTTACCCTGGCTAAGGCACTCTTCGTGAACCTGCTCTTGAAGAGTACCTTAGTCTGGCTGAGCTACCCTGCTCTTGAAGGGTGTCTTAGCCTGACTGAGAGTTACCCTGCTCTCAAAGAGTACCTTAAGCCTGACTGAGAGAGCTACCTTGCTCTTGAAGAGTACCTTAAGCCTGGCTAAAAGGACCAGGCTAAGGTACTATTTAAGAGCAGCGTAGCCAAGGGAGACCAGTTAGTGTGTACGTATCTCATAGCAGGTTTTGTTTAATTTTCTATTTGAGTCAGGTCAAAGGTGCCGTTAGCTTTGGAAACTCTGGAGGGTTTCATGTTAGGCATCGGAGAGTTTAATTTCACCCGCTGGCGCATGCGGGGAAATGTGACGCTGGGGTCCTTTGCAGCGAGGAGAGGACAGAGTCCCCTCCAAGCCCCCCCAGCGATGCCCTGAAATTTAGGGGTCAAGAAAACCAGCGAGTTGTCCGCGTGCCCGGATGGTGGAAAAGTGACTCTTCCATCGATGTTCCGTCTTCCCACGAATCATAAAATAAAATCCGTCTCTTTACTCTTCGTTTAATTTTTGTGCACCGCTGAAACCTTTTTCCCACGCTATCCCCTTTCGCAATTCACCCTGCTCGGTCGGCGTTAGCCGCTGAGGGTCGTCACGGCTTTCTCTTTTCATTCCTGTTGCTTCCGTGCCTCCCCCCCTCCACCCCCCCGGTACTGTTCCCAATCCGCTGTAATGTGCACAGATGCCCACTTTCCGGGGGGGGAGGGGGGGGTGGGGGGGCGATATTGGCACGTAAAATTAATATTGAGCAATTCATTGAAATTGAGAACGCGCGGATCGTTACTGCAACTATCTGCTCCGAGCGTGCCACGTTTTTGTCAAGCGGAGTAATTAAATAAGCCGTTCCGCCAATGGACAGCTTCACACATCGGGCAACCTCACATTCAAAAATGCCTAAATTCTAACTCCACATATGGGGCGTTATTTTTGAAGGCGGCTATTTGCAGCCCGGGAAAATACGGAGTATTTCCGGGCAAATTTCATTGGTTTGGCACTCGCACAAAAATGAACGCGCCATCACCATTCCAGAGCGGGCTAAAACGTTTTTCGAGTACATCCGGCACTGTGGCGAAACCGGGCAAACAGTTGTCTCATTTTCTTTGGTTCTTTCGGTAAAGTCACGTAGAACGAGAATAAAACAATAAATTGATAAAATAAAATAACACAATAATATTCTCACGACGTTTCGGCCACAACACAAGCGGCCTTCATCAGGTGAAGGGACGAGACTGTCTGCTAGGACAGCGCTGGAGTTGTCTCATTGTTGCTGCCCTTTGTCGAATATGACACCGGCGCAACGTCCACTCTGCCGAGTTGGCGCTCCGAAGTCAGGTGAAGCGAGGTCAGGTGGCGCCTACGACGGCCTGCGTATTAGTCACGCAGCACGGTGACGTCACGTGACATGCGTGGCACCCTGGGGGCACCGAGACGAATGGTCGCGATCGCGCCTTTCGCTGTCCAGAAGTCACGCTGCTCGTGCGTTGTCGTCAATCAAACCATTGGTACATTCCCACTGCCTGAAATGTCGCCTATTACACATGTTACTGTTGCTCATTCTCTTCCGCTTGCCTCCCCCCCCCCTCGCCCCTCCACTCCTTCTCGTCCCTCCCTTACCCCCCCCCCCCCCATCGCTGTCACTCATTCCTCAATCTTTGTACGCCCGTCAACTACGTCATCGTTTTGCAAGCTACGTCAAGCGCCTTGAGCGAAGGCGCTCTGTTAATATAAATTAGGATTAGAATTAGACTATATTGTTGGCGAATGTGTTCAGTTTTGATTATTACGTTTCACGTAGTCTGCAGTAGCTTCGCAGTCGGGGCCCGATGACTGCTGCCCCCATTTTACAAACCCGACAGCGGCACTCTCTTTCCGATAACGTCACGCACGGGATCTTAAACATCCGGCCTGCGTTGGGTCTCGAACCGCAAACATATGCCGCAAGAGGCAAAAACGCGTCACAGCTCGGCCATGCCCCTAATTATGCTACCCAACAGGGCGTCGTTACCTTGTTCCTGTAGGTCATGACGGCGCCAGCGTGCACCAGCAGGCGCAGCCCGTCCAGATGGCCGTTGCACGCCGCCAGGTACATCGGCGTGACCCCCCACTTGTCCGACTGGTTCACATCCGCACCGTGCTGTAGTCGGACAGAGGCGTCTCGGTGTTGGCGACGTGCGTCGACAAAGGGGCAAGCGAGCATTTGGGGAGGGCTTCGTTGAAGGGGAGTGCATGCGGTATGCAAACAAAACTGATTCGTCCGTTCAGTGATTCTCAGGGCTCAGGGTACGTTGCGGCTAAAAGGGCGGGCAGGAGGGGGCGGTCAGCAAAATCCATTGCTGCCCCTGTACTAAAATGCTCCCACATCTACGCACCCTGACTTTACCAACCCCTGCACGGTGAAGTACGGAGCGTTCTGATTGGTCAGCGATGATGGACAGACACTGGATGGACAAAATCATTTTTACAATCATCTCTCGGTCATCACGGTGGCGAGATGTTAACTACCTCGCCTGGTATACACGAGGCTGTGGGTTCGATCCCGACCCTGACGCCTGTCTATTTGGAGTTTGCGTGTTCTCCCTGTGGTCGCGTGGATATTTCCCCGGATCCTCCAGTTTTTTCCTCCACATTTAGAATCAACGTGCGTTTAAGAGTAATTTGGCTGCTATACATTTCCACGTGATAAGCCCACTTTTTTGAGCCATCATTTGTGGCCAGGTCGTTTCTGAAAAGGAGCTATATAGCTCAGTGGAGCTTACCTGGTAAAATACAAATGAATAAATAACGTAGCGGGAAGGAGTGGCCCAGACAAAACAAAAACACAGCAACAGAAAATATCTGTAAATTAGGGGCAAACATGTGGATTGTGTCACCTGTTGCTACTGTTTCGGTCCACTTGCCGATGCTTGTGCGGTCAAGTGGGCACTGGGTCACTGACCCTTCTTCACGAGTAAGGTCCATGCACGCGTAAATCGATTTCGCAAGCACGGTTAATCCGTAAGATGGGTTTCAGTTTCAGTTTCTTTATTTTTGGTATAGCCCTGTGAGCCATTCGGCTCTTGAATCGGGTGCAACCGCAACAAACAAAAAAACAAAAACACGAACAAGAAAGCTTCTTAAAGTGACTATGTGTGACTGTGCAAACAGAAAATCCATGAAAAAAACCAGCAAAATATTCCTGAAAAAAGCACCGTACACCAACGCTGTGTGCAAAAAATCCCAGTGGGATGCAAGTCAAACAACAACAACCACAAGAAAACTTAGATTAAGGCCATCATTCTAACTCCGTACTACAACAAAACAAACATGTCCAAACCAAAAAACCATAATTGCAACGTAACAGAGATCATAGGGACTGTGACCGAATTTTTACAATAAACTACATAAATAACATGCAACACCAAATCCTAGAGCCATAACTGGCTCTAGGATAATCGAGTAACTCCTTTCACAGCCATGCTATTTCAACTTGACATCAGCCTGCAGCCAGCCATGTTTGAATTAATTCTGTAAACTTTTCTTTTGATTTGGTAAACATTTTGATCATGACCAGATGCTGCCACTAGATGGCAGCAGACGCGGCAGTGTAGCGGTAAACGTGATGCCCGCCGAACCAGGCGACGACCCAAATCACGATTCCTGCTCACGGCCAACACCAGCAACGATTATCTGAACGGGTTCTGGGCCTCCCCCCACTCGGTCGATTCCGCCTTAAATGAGTAGCTGGTGCGGTGTGTAAACATCGGCACTGGGGCTACAAAGGTGGCCAGTTGTGGTGCCGGCCACACAATCCCCCCCTGGGCCTTTAGAGGTGCTCGCTAACAGCACTTGCCCCGACAGTGTGGTGAAGGCTATACGGGATGCCTTTGTCTTCGTGTGGCCCGCAAACAAAATCGAACATTTGTTCACGTGAAATGTCTGGACCAGAAAAGGGGATAGGCATTGTCGGGTGCCGAGAACGAAATAAATTACATTTACAACAGTAAGGTTTCCAAGGGGCTGTATGTCACCACAAATAATTTGTTGGCCGAGAGGAGGCCAAACTAATAAGTGTATAGAAGTAAACAACAGACGGGGCCCCCTGTGGAAGGGGTCACTGTAGTTAACATCTCGCCACGGTGACTCAGATGTTTTCCCTGCCACATTTAGAATCAACATGTGCGTGAGAGTATTTAGCTGCTATAAATGTCCATGTGACAAGCCACTTCGTTCTCAGCTATCATTTGTTATGGCCGGGTAGCTTCTGGAAAAAAAGGAGCGATATATAACTCAGTGGGCCTTACCTGGTAAAAATTGAAAGAAGAGTATATATTGATATAATAAGACTATAACAGCTGTTAAGATGTTCAAACAGCATGCAAACAAACATGATCCGATAAAATATGCATTGTCTTTGAAACTGATTGGCCTACACCAGACGAATCATTAAACATATTATCAAAGCATGTTTGTTTTGCATGTTTTGCCACAACTACAGCGAGTGAAAAAAGTATTTGATCCCCTGCTGATTTTGTACGTTTGCCCACTGACAAAGAAATGATCAGTCTATCATTTTAATGGTAGGTTTATTTGAACAGTGAGAGGCAGAATAACAAGAAAATCCAGAAAAACGCATGTCAAAAATTGTATTAATTGATTTGCATTTTAATGAGGGAAATAAGTATTTGACCCCTCTGCAAAACATGACTTAGTACTTGGTGGCAAAACCCTTTTTGGCAATCACAGAGGTCAGACATTTCTTGTAGTTGGCCACCAGGTTTGCACACATCTCAGGAGGGATTTTGTCCCACTCCTCTTTGCAGATCTTCTCCAAGTCATTAAGGTTTCGAGGCTGACGTTTGGCAACTCGAACCTTCAGCTCCCTCCACAGATTTTCTATGGGATTAAGGTCTGGAGACAAGCTAGGCCACTCCAGGACCTTAATGTGCTTCTTCTTGAGCCACTCCTTTGTTGCCTTGGCCGTGTGTTTTGGGTCATTGTCATGCTGGAATACCCATCCACGACCCATTTCAATGCCCTGGCTGAGGGAATGAGGTTCTCACCCAAGATTTGACGGTACATGGCCCCGTCCATCGTCCGTTTGATGCAGTGAAGTTGTCCTGTCCCCTTAGCAGAAAAACACCCCCAAAGCATGTTTCCACCTCCATGTTTGATGGTGGGGATGGTGTTCTTGGGGTCATAGGCAGCATTCCTCCTCCTCCAAACACGGCGAGTTGAGTTGATGCCAAAGAGCTCCATTTTGGTCTCATCTGACCGCAACACTTTCACCCAGTTGTCCTCTGAATCATTCCGATGTTCATTGGCAAACTTCAGATGGGCATGTAAATGTGCTTTCTTGAGCAGAGGGACCTTGCGGGCGCTGCAGGATTTCAGTCCTTCACGGCGTAGTGTGTTACCAATTATTTTCTTGGTGACTATGGTCCCAGCTGCCTTGAAATCATTGACAAGATCCTCTCGTGTAGTTGTGGGCTGATTCCTCACCGTTCTCATGATCATTGCAACTCCACGAGGTGAGATCTTGCATGGAGCCCCAGGCCGAGGGAGATTGACAGTTCTCTTGTGTTTCTTCCATTTGCGAATAATCGCACCAACTGTTGTCACCTTCTCACCAAGCTGCTTAGCAATGGTCTAGTAGCCCATTCCAGCCTTGTGTAGGTTTACAATCTTGTCCCTGACATCCTTGGAGAGCTCTCTGGTCTTGGCCATGGTGGAGAGTTTGGAATCTGATTGATTGATTGCTTCTGTGGACAGGTGTCTTTTATACAGGTAACAAGCTGTGATTAGGAGCAAACCCTTTAAGAGTGTGCTCCTAATCTCAGCTCGTTACCTGTATAAAAAACACCTGGAAAGCCAGAAATCGTTCTGATTGAGAGGGGGTCAAATACTTATTTCCCTCATTAAAATGCAAATCAAATTATAACATTTTTGACATGCGTTTTTCTGGAATTTCTTGTTGTTATTCTGTCTCTCACTGTTCAAATAAACCTACCATTACAATTATAGACTGATCATTTCTTTGTCAGTGGGCAAACGTACAAAATCAGCAGGAGATCAAATACTTTTTCCCCTCACTATATGTGTGGTTAATGCAGACTTGATGCCTTGCAAAAAGGTTCCTATTTGATGTTTGTACATCTTTACACCTGTTTTATTTCCGAGAAGGGTAAAACCTATGTTTTGTCATCATTCTTGATACTGGCAAAAAGGTCCCATATATACACATTGATAATGACCTGTATAAGGTCCCATTGATACATATTGATAATGACCTGTATAAGGTCCCATTGATACATGTTGATAATGACCTGTATAGAGTCCCATTGATACATATTGATAATGACCTGTATAAGGTCTCATATACACACATTGATAATGACCTGTATAAGGTCCCATTGATACACATTGATAATGACCTGTATAAGGTCCCATTGATACACATTGATAATTACCTGTATAAGGTCCCATTGATACACATTGATAATTACCTGTATAAGGTCCCATTGATACACATTGATAATGACCTGTATAAGGTCCCATTGATACACATTGATAATGACCTGTATAATATCCCATTGATACATATTGATAATTACCTGTATAATATCCCATTGATACACATTGATAATGACCTGTATAAGGTCCCATTGATACACATTGATAATGACCTGTATAAGGTCCCATTGATACACATTGATAATTGACCTGTATAAGGTCTCATATATACACACTGATAATGACCTGTATAAGGTCCCATTGATACACATTGATAATGACCTGTATAATGTCCCATTGATACATATTGATCATTACCTGTATAAGGTTCCATTGATACACATTGATAATGACCTGTATAAGGTCCCATTGATACACATTGATAATGACCTGTATAATGTCCCATTGATACACATTGATACTGTATAAGGTCCCATTGATACACATTGATAATGACCTGTATAAGGTCCCATTGATACATATTGATAATGACCTGTATAAGGTCCCATTGATACACATTGATAATGACCTGTATAATGTCCCATTGATACACGCTGATAATGACCTGTATAAAGTCCCATTGATACACATTGATAATTACCTGTATAAGGTCCCATTGATACACATTGATAATGACCTGTATAA